AGAGGGCATCCTTAGCAAGGGTGGGCTAGTTCTGCCCTAGAAAACTGGGGAGAAGGGTTGATAGGCTGATGAACAGGGCTGCTACTCGAAGGGACTGTGATGGGCTGGAGAAATGAGCTGGCAGAACCTCATGAAGCCCAGGGAAGGCAGATGCAGAGTCCTGCAGCTGGGGCAGGGAGGAATAGCTTTGGGACATGTTGTGAACTGGGAGCAATGAGCCAGAGTGCAGCTCTGAAGAAAAGATCCCAAGGAGAGGTAGAAAGAGCAACTTTGGTCTGAGGAAAAGAAGGATGGGGTGGTTGGGATCTTACTGCTATCTTCAGCTACCTTATGGGTGGTAAGAAGGGTTAACCCGGACTCTTCAGATGTGCCTACTGATGAGATAAGCAATGAACAAGTTGCAGCAAGGAAAATTCTGACTAGATATTGTCAAAAAAAGAAAAAAATCATAGCAAGGTGCAATACCCTTCCAAGCATTGGAAGCGGCTGTAGAATTTTCCTGTCCTTAGAGAGATGCAAAACTGAATGAGACCATGGTTGAGCTGGCCGTGCTTTAAGTGGGGTGTGCGTGTGGAGGTGGACCAGAAGCTCCTTCCAACCTACCTTATTCAATGATTCAACTCTTTGTTGTTGTTTCCTCTTGGTGGCTGTTAAGCTTCAGATCATTTTTATAGGAGAAAGTGCAATGAATTCTCGTAGTTTGTGAATTTCTTCCACCAAATCACTGACCTCTATTGGAGGCTGACATTTCACATGAGAGAGAAGATTCAGAGAGTCTGATCCTGGCTACAAAAAGCCTGTGAGTTCCATCTTACAGTGTTGTAACTAAACAAAATTGCCTTCTAACAGGGTTTGTATCCCTTTTTGCACTTTGGTTTAATTATATAGTTCTTATCCGAAGGGAGGCAGCCAGGGTAGGTAATTAAAGACATCTTGAAAGAAATCAGCTAAGTGATAGCAGAATCAGCTCAGTACTTTAAAACACAGAGGAAATCCATTTTTAAACTCCTTTTTTTWWAAAAAAAAASAAACTTCCCAATGTAAAACTGTGTTACTGTGCATTAGCTATATGTTTTTAATGACCACACTACATTTTAAGAAAGTTAGAAATCAGAGAAAAATGTCTCATGTTACAGTAAAAACTGTTCTTTCTATCTTACTTGTCCATTGCATTCTTATTTATTTTTTGTCGAATTTAAGGAATCCAAAATAAATTATCCTTAACTGAGCATTAATGCGTGAAATATTTTAGGAGAAAAAGTTTCACTGAGAATAAGTCATTAAAAATACATGCAGCAGAAGTTCATTTTGTGTCACAGAGTTACAGTGCTTGCACACATTTTTTCAATTGCAAAACTCTTAAAAAGTGGAAGTGCTTTTTAAATAAATTAATTGTTAAAATAATGTCTCTGGTTCCYACTGTTGGTAAAAATTAAATAAACTACTGCTATTTTTTTCAAGAAGCTTAGGTCTGCACATCTTCATTTAATAAAAACTACAAATATGCAGAAAACAGTATATGAGGCAGGGTTTTAAATCCTTAAATTGTCATGGATTGCAGGAGGAATTCTGCAATTCAGCAACTCGAAAACTGGCATTGTTGCCACTGTTAGTAGAATATTTCCTTTAACCACCATTACTCTAGCTGAATTTTCAATTTCTTCATATTTTCTATTCCTTTATATTTTCTTATACTCAAGGTGATAGACTCAAATATAAATCTCTATCCCTGTTYATTTTATCACCACAACCAAAGAGAATATTTTACCACAATTGTGCTAGATAATCTATAGCTGAATAGCAAGGTCAGTTTATGTCTTGCACCTTTATTATTCTCTCTCTCTCCCTCTCCCTCACCCTCAGATTTAATGAAATTAATGACTTTTAGTATAGCTACAGAGCGTTGCTTGGTTTTGTTCTGTATTTTTGAGCTTTAATAATTAAGGAGAGTTTGTCGTGATGAGGTTGAAGTGGTCTTAACATCCTCATTTGTCACTTTCTGAAAGATACCATAGACAGAATTTGTAGGTTTTTATTTCAGTACTTCGGCCCTTGAGACTAATTAATTAAATCTAAAATGTGCTTAATTTTGGTGAGGCACCGTGATGGGAAACACGTAATTAGCCATTTTGTTGAAGGATGCATATTATGCTTCAGTGACTAATTTTCTGGTCAGTGATTCACAACCTTATGCCCCTCTTTAATATTTAAACACTTCAGATTATGATAGATCTTATAGTTAAAGCCAATTGAGGCTTAAGGATCTAATATTCAGCTTTTTAAAAACTCTCTCCTATCTGGTGTTCAAAAGAAAGAAATATTTTTTATTTTCTCCTTATATTACAAATTTGTACTTTACAGATTATTTATGAAATCAACAGAATTATTCTGTTGTATTTAATTTGATATTTTAAAGTCATGAAACGTAGCCTGGCAAAAAGTTTTGTTTACTTTGTAAAGACTATAATGTTGGARACATAATTTTCCTCTTTACAGCTGGCATCAATCATAGAATGAATACTTCTCAATATTTATTTTCAGATACTTCAGTCTAATTATCAAATATCTCATTTTAAAGCAATGAATTCTAGGAAGATAAGACATTCCTTTTATACTTCTATTTTGAAAAATATTTGCTATATACTCTCTGCTATATTTGCTATATTGTGTTCTAACACCTAAGGAACTTACTTTTAACATATATTTCAAGCCTTGAAAATAGCATCGCTATAACCTGTCTTTGGGATGAGAATAAAATTCCAATTAATAAGGTTTAAAATATATATTTCCTACCTCAACTTAATGCTCTGTATGAAAATATCATTGCATTACATTTTAATATGCCAAAACCATTCCTAATGTAAAAAGAGGGGAAAGGGGGGTTTTCCATTGACATGTGTTAATCATAAATAACTGGGAGGTAACAGATTTTAAATATATGCCATATTACCTATCCTAGACTTTCAGACAGTGAAGAAATAGTTGTATGAATTTTTTCAAGTATATTATTTTCCAAGGGAGGGGAATTTCCAGGCAGAAGACAGGTGGAAAAATTATATATACAGCACATTGCATTGTTCTATATTTTGCTACATGGGTGATCACTGTCATGTATTTATAAATGTGATGTTATCTCTGCTGTGTATTAATAATATATTACTGTGTAATTTCTCTGAAAATATATATTTAAAATGAAATGGRTGTTTTCCATATTCCCTTCTATTTTATTTTTCCACAGAAGAGGCAAGCAGACGGCGGGTGTGGGTTAAATGCTTCTTTACTTGGTGTTGTAATGTCAAAGGTTCATTGTTCCTTGCAGTTGAGACGCAGATAGGGCTGGTTTACTCTTTTGGAGTAATACTTGGCTGTAAAACGAAAATTCAGAAGAAACAGGATCTGACTGTGAGTCAGAGCGCAGAACAGATGAGGCAGAGGGGTCATAAACAAACATTCTTCCAGCCCCAGGTCTTTATCATTGCTGAGAACCAATGTCATATTTCGTAATTGTAGGATGTGAGTGCCAGACGGTGATCTGATTTAATCAGGATTAAAATACTGATGTTACTTGCTGATATTATTCTAGGGTCTGTTGTATTTTCTGTTAATATTTTTAAACTAAGTCCCTTCCTTGTGAGCTATTTTTAGAGCACCTTGTTTCATTATTTCGAATTGTGTCGGTTCTTCTCACCTTTCTTGTCCTTTTGGAAACAGTTATTAACTCATTTGTTTTGTTAGTGTCAAAATAATCTCCAAATTGTATTCTTTTCTATAGCACATGACTTCATAGAGTCTGACAAATTGTTTGGCATAGGAAATGGACTGAGGCTTATCCACGCATGGGAACTTGTCCTATGTATAGATGCCAAATCTCAAATGTCTTTAACAGCAATAGACAGTACTAATGAAAATCATTTTCTTACATGGGGTGTAATACACACTTGTACTTCTCATTCCAAATAACAAATTAAATTCATCACTGGTGCCAAATATTTTGGAAACAAATAATTTACCATATGCAGTCTCTCAGAGGCACCTGATTTTACTTTTCAGTTCTACATAATACTTTTTTCCCCTACAATTGCCCAGTGTCTTTCTGGCGTGTTAGGAAAATGTTACTTCAGCTTTACATCTTTAAACTGTGTTTTTGTTCAGTTGTTTATAATATCAATGCTATATGGGCATTTATCATTATTGCTACATGTAGCAGGGTACCTAACGATGGAAGAAATGTTGCAGTCAAAGCCAGTCCAAAATTTCAGTTGCTGAAAACAAGGTTGGAAAAGAATGCAAGTCTCAGCCAAAGAAAGGGAAACGTTTGTTGCCTGCTATTAAGGCAAAGAAATTTGCTTCCCATTTTTATCAAGCGCCAAAACTGGAGAAAAAAGCTCCCTAGCAACAGGAGTTCGTAAAATAAAAAGATTGAAATGAAGTTTAAAATTAGGRAAACGAGTCTGTCAGATTTTAAAATGTAGAAATAGATTCTCTTTTACAGGTAGGCAAAAGGCAARCACAAAAGTTCAGAAATGTCTTTTAGATCAAGATGGAGAAAGAAAATACTCTGATTCTGTTTTCTTGTTCTATCATGTTCTTTTCACCATGAGCGATCAGAAATTTCTCTGTATTTTTAACTGTTCCTCTGAACTTTTGTTGGCTTCTGAGAAATACATTCTCTTAAGGGAATAGGAGTGATAATACTTTTTAAAAATCTGCCCTGCTTTCAGTCTAAATCCCTGAAGTTCCCATTTGGAGGGAAGGTTTTAGAGGTCACCGGTCACCGTCCCTTTTTTGTGTGTGAGGAGGAAATCCTGTCACTTCCTGGCCTGACCTCCCTTTGTGAACAGTGCCCTTCTAGCAACTCTAGTCCACAGAACATCTTTAAAACCACCACAGGCCTGCGTTTCCAAAGGAAAATCCAGTTGCATCCAGTCTAGATGCAGCTGAAAATCAAGAARTTTGGTAAAGCAACAAGAGTGATATTTTTTCCGCGCTGTTTTCTACAGGTTTGTAATTGGACGAGAAAAACCRGGACAGGTCAGTGAGGTGGCGCAGCTGATCAGCCAAACCCTGGAACAGGAACGGCGCCAGAGAGAGCTCCTGGAGCAGCATTATGCCCAGTACGACGCAGATGACGATGAGGTAACACCCCCTGCCCGGCATTTGTCTCTTTGGGCATTTTTTTCATGTGCTGTTCTGTCTTCCTAGTTCCTGCTTTCCCCTTGGGACTCTGAGGCTGACTTTTGACACTGCCAAAAGTGCCAAAAGTGGCACCTTTGCTGCTGCTTTTTAAAAATTGTGGTGATAAATCTGATTTCAAGAAGAAAATTACTGCAGAGCTTTTCGGTGTGTGGTTAAAATATTCCTTTTGTTCCAGAACAGCAAATATCAAATTGATTGGCGCAGGAAAATTCAAATGTAAGAAGAGTTTTCTATTGATAGTGTCTTTGGCTGATAGAGAGAACCAAAAGGAGGACAAGGAGATCACAGAACAGAATTGAGGCATCCATATATTATCCTGGTGCTACATTAAGGATGTGACCACGTCTGTGACCATAAGTTATACCTTTTGGCCATCACCTTGTGCCGTGCAAAGGGAACTCTCATATAAGAKTATGTGATGGAAGGAGAAAGAAGAAGGGGAAAAAACCTTTACTAGATACAGAATACAACAGATCTATCTTGGGAGGAGAAGGAATTAGTCTTTGGAAGAACTGAGGAAATACTTCGGGTATCAAAAACAACAGTGTGCATGGGGGGGTGATATTAATTTTTATTCTCAGAATGGACAGCTAGAATATAGTTAAGTGTGCGATGGGCATGAGGCCCTGCTTGATTAACAGATTCACCAATAGGTTGTGTGGGGAACCTGCAGCAATCCTCAGTTTGTTCAGACTTTTGCCAGGTGACTGCTTCCCAGTAAACCCTGTAGCTTGCACCATCCTCAGGCAATTGACTTCCTAGAAGCTGTGATCTGATGTGCATTAGACACAGTTCAAAGGTGTTTTTGGTCATCACAAGCACTCCTGCTTCATTTACTATCAAATATGAACATTACTGCTTCAAGTGCACCTTGCTCTCCTATGGCAAATGTGATTGAGTTTGTTTATGTTGCCCTGTGCCAGACTCCACTACCAGCAAGCCATTCTCTGGCTCTGGGAAAGGAGGCATGGAAATCACAGTCTGCATCATATGGATTGATATYCACAAATGTACCAAAAAGATTATCTTTCCAAGTCCCTCTCATAACAAAGATGTGGATTCTGACTGCATGAAGAGCAGTGGTGTTTGGGTTGCCAGCAGTTTCATACTTTCTTGGTTTCATACTGAGATGATATGAATTTCTACACRGATGTGTTCAATTTCAGAGCTGTTCGACTGATCTGCCCGTTTTCAGTCAGTTCTTGGTAGGTGGTAGGACAGACCTCCAGCTTCAACCCTGCTTAAATAATGGGGAAAACAATCAAAAATGTGTCTTTCACTGAGGCTGTCAARTTCTGGACTTTTCCTCAAAGACAGCAATAATGTACTGAGTTTCCAGAGCAAAAAGTCATTGGTGAGTCTTGGAGTCCCAGAGTTGCTGAACGTGACCATGCCTGGAAAGGCTGCTGGCTGATCAGCTTGCGTGTAGAATGTCCCAGGCATGTTCCAGCCTGGCGTTCGGCCTTCCCATGATCCAGGCTGCCTGGCATTTCTCTGACCTAAAACCCAAGGTAGCCCTCATCACAGCTCAGGCAGCACCTTCCACCCGTTTTAGAAGAATCCGCGTTCCCTAAAGCAGCGTCAATGGGGGAAGTGTCGATTGCTGCCAACCAGCTTATACAGGACTTCAGTCAGATGCTAAATTCGGGCGACTTATTAGACTCTTGTAGCTCCTCATTCCGCTGGGAATGTTACATGCCGGTTACTGGTGGCTGGAGGAAGATTCACACATCTTGCAGTTGGCAGTGTCAGGAGGGCAACAACTGGCATTGCCCTACGAGCCAGTGCTAAGTGCAGTAAAGGTAGGAGGAGATCTTGTTATAGGTGCTACATCTAGGTAGAATGTTACAGAATTTACTCCTCACCAGCTTCTTTCTTTTTCTAAACCGYCCCCATCCCTTCTTGATTTGTTTTATCCTGGTGACTGGAAAACTGTTTGAAATAGGCACTGTCTTTGTGTTTCCTACCTAGTGTGCGAAGTGTGACCCGAGTCTGTATCTTTAACTGAAGTCTTTCCTGCATTAATGCAGGGTTCTAGGCACAGTTAATCAAGTTGTGGTATCTCTTGGTATCTTAATTTGAACATGATATTATCTTTTTCATGTTTAACAGTGAAGGGCAAAATTCACATAAAAGAGATGCCTCATTCCCCTGAAGTCTGCATACTCTGATGCAAGATGAGAAATTGATAACATATTGCAGCATTCTGTTCACTCTCTGGCCATGGATAAGTAGTTTTATGCAAGTAATACAGGGTTTTTTTATTATTTTAATATTACTAATGGACATTTGAATAATTTTTCATTTTTAATTATTATTTATCAGGCTATTCTGAGAGCAAAGTAGTATTGGAGCATTACCATGTTCTTGGATGTCCAAAACCCAAAGAGTGCGTTATGGTTGAGGAAATCTTTCAGAGAACACAATTTTTCCAGCATCATTAGTATGAAATATTTTTGTCAAAATGATTTCTTCATATTTTTCTTTGCTCTCACAAAAAAAAAAATTAAGTGAAAATTCTAAAATAAAGATCAGATGAAGAGGCGCTATTGAGTTCTCCRAGCGGCATTCCCTGCCTGTGGGAAGAGCTGCAGTCCCTAAGCAAAAGCTTTAGCCAGGTTTCCAAATCCCCCACATTTATGGTGATTTGGAGGAGCTGACTTGGCTGCTGCTGCTCCTGCTTTATGCTTGTGTTAAGCACATTCCAAGAATTTACAGTGCCAGTAGAGAGCACGAGTGACATCTTCCCTTTTGAAAGGGGACATTACGATTCACACTGGTAATTTTGTGCTGTTACCTGTGTTAGTGTGTGGCTACTAAATGGCTGTGTCAGATGAAAGCCATTCCTATGGAAAAATGGGAAAGCTGAAGGTTGGATATTACTTTTGCTCGCCTGTTTCAGATGAGTGAATGGTGGTAACCAGTAAAGGGRCTGAGATTTTGTTTGTTTGTTTGAAGAATGCTGAAGTTCTTAGTCTTTGTACACACAAAGTACGTAAAATATGGTTGCTGTGTGTTTGATTGTAGAATATGTAAACAAATATTTTAAGATACAGCAACAGGTCTACGATTTTTTTTTCACATTCAGCTGTATTTAGTGTATGAGTAAGTCATACATTATGGTTGTTTGTCATCTTTTTATAGTTCTTTTAACTTCAGAAGTTTTTACCAAATCATTTTGCTTCCCAGATGTTTGATCTTTCATTCTAGCAGTTTAGCAAAATGTAAACTTAATTTTTCAGTGTGCTATCTCTCCAAGAAGTGCTGCTTATTCATGCAAATACATCCCTGTGTTATTGGATGTGTTCATATGTCTTTTCGGTTTGTGTGTACTTGTGTATATTTACAATTAATGTGCTTCTATGCCTTACTGTGTAATTGAAAGAGATTTACCTAAGCCTAAATGACAGCTGGGAAGCTTACTTGGGTAGGAAGCTGAAATTCTAACTGTTATTTGGACACCTGAATTCTTACCTCTTGATTTGAAATGTTCTTTAAAAAAAAAAAAAAATGATACCAATACATATTGGAGCATTGCTAGGAATATATTTCTGAAAAGAATGCCATGCACTTTTACGCCCGGAACTTAGAGCGCATGTAAAAAATGAATAATTCTGTCAAAACCTGGGATGTCATAAGTATTACTGTATTCATGAGAAGGACTATCCTCCCTGCCATCCCTTTCTCGTGCATTTCTTTATTCCTGCACTTGATAAGTGCAGCTGTCCCTGAGGGAAGTTTTGCTGTGCTCAGATAGTCRTGTGCACAGAATATGCATGAGCTGGGCTTCACTTGAGATGAACTGCAGAATACAGAAGCATTCAGCCACCTTTGGGATGTGGTGAGCATAGGTGCATATGCAAAACATTGTTTAGGCACCTTAGGGCATGATAATATAAATGTTTTATTTTCAGCATTATTGTGTTGCCCCTTTTAGGCTTGAGAAATATGATTTAGCTTATTCTTTTTAGACTTCTGTTTTATTAGCCAACAGTCTGTCCATATTTCATGTCTAACCAACCCAAAAGACACCCAAGTTTTATGTGTAAAACTAGCTAGCAGCACCTGTTTATCCAGGGTGAGAATTCAGTAAAGCTTGATTTCCATGGGCTTGTTTCTGACGCTCAGTTTCTTAGTGCCTGTGTTGTCTTTTGGTATAGAAGTGGCTTTCCTATTACTAATTTCTTTATGAAAAATGAACCAACTGATGTTSAAATACAGTGGATTTTCACCTGAGAGTTACTACCTGCAGCTGGCTCACAAAACAGAAATCAAGATCCTGCCAGTTCTGTTCTGCTTGTATTTCTGTTTGGAAAGGATTCCTTATTAAAACTGGAACACACTGAGAGCTCTTCCTGTGGGAAAGAAAGCCATGTTTGGAAAAGGATGAAAACTGCATTAACTGCAGCCAGTAAAGCTGGCCTCTAGGAATTTTCAGTGCTTAAGATACTATTTTCTCCTCTGTCTTAATGTCCTGAAACACTACTGTGGAGTAGTAGTTCACATATTTAGAAATCACAACTGCTTGGACTAGAGCTAAACAAAAACCCAAGTTATTTTTTGCATGCAATATGCTGTATTTACACGCCGACTTAACTACTTGAAAGTCTACAAATTGTACATATTTAACAGTCTCTGTATAATAAGAAGATAACTTGAATTTCTTAAATGCTATGAAATTAAGACAGGGGAATATGCTACAGATGAAGAAGACGAAGACATGGCACCTGCCCTTCCAGGGGGTGATGTGGCCATTGAAGTGTTTGATCTTCCCGAAAACGACGACATGTTCTCCCCCAGCGACCTGGACACCAGCAAGCTGGCTCACAAGTTCAAAGAGGTGAGTTACACATCCAGAAATATTTCCCACAGACTTCACTGGAACTAGGTTTCTAGTTATCCCGTTGCTCAGTGGTTGTTACTTTCTTTGAACATGAGATTTGATTTCTGGCTGTTTGTGCAGCCAGTATGAGTAAATGGCTCAAAAAAATCTCCTTTAAGTAAATTGAGCAGTTGTTTTAACATCAGCTGTCAGGTAACTAATATGTTGATGGAGGAGGATTTATAATCCCAAGTTTTCGGTATGAAATTTATTCTGCCTTAGTACTTAGTTGGCACTTCTTGGCCAGGAAGGCGAGATGCAAGTTAATTCATTCCTGGCACATGGCTTGTCTTTTTTTGTGAGATTCCAAGCGGAAGCAACCGGGGGAACAAACAACAAATCCTAAATTTCAGCAAAAAGGAACATGGTTGGGCTTTTCCTAACTCCGATACCATTGCACAGCACTCATCAGTATTCTGCACTGTGATGTGTTTGTTTATGTGTTCAGAAAGAAGCAGGCRTGTTTTAGGTTGATGTTTTATCAAACTTCTGTGGCTGTAGTGTGTGTCTTACCCACTGGGACTATGTGAAGCTTGGGGCAGCGATAGTCAGTAGTAGCTGCAATATTTAAATTCTTGTAAGTTAGTGTAGAAAATATTGAGAAATATTTCTGTTGTATTTTAGATTGTGCTTTTGATTTCATTTATTCCTGAACTTTCATGGTCTCTGGTGAAAATAAAGGTATGAAACAAATGGATTCATACCAGCCCAGAGGAATGGACTGAGCATTAAAAAAAAAAAAAAAAAAGGAACATTCTGCTTTTTAAACAGAATGGAGATGAAAGGGTGTAAAGAAATTGGAGCCTCATAGATAAGGAGCAGAGCCCTTATGTGCCTAGAAGGCAATTTAAGAAAAAAAAAAATAGAGAGACTCCCTCTTATCTCCCTTCCTGCTTTGTCTTTTCCCCTTCCCTCCCTTTCATTCAAGCCAGAGGTTTTATTTTCTACAAATATATCTCATGGCCGTAAGAGTCACGGAAATAGAAAATACAGAAGTAATCCATTCCTGAGCAAGCAAGTCTTCCCCTTTTCTCCTGATACCCTTTTCAGCCTTCCAGTGCCTATTGTCATTCATCTTTGTTTTCTGAAAAGTTTGTAGTTCATTTAATTTTTTCTCACCCCGTATTTCAAGTTCCAGGCTATATGCAATTGAACAAAACAGACAACTTCATTTTTAATACTTTGTGTTGTGCCTGTTGATTRTATGACCTGTTCAAAGCAGTTGGAAGATAGCACCATTCTGACTGGTAGCATTTACCCCATTGCTCTTGCCAGTGTGACAAGGTTATGCAAAGCACAGCTGCAGGGATGGGTAAGACATTGGGGCCGTTTGACTGAATTACCTGTAAAACTGTGCTTGAAAACAGTTTCCACCAGCTTGGGCTCTTGCCAGTCTTGAGTACGTCCAGACTGACGAGAAGTGAGTTGTAGACCTCATTTAAAGGTCTCAAATCTAGATATAGAAATACAGAGAAAATCAAACTAAAAGACTTGGGGGTCTTTTGATTCGAGAGCAGATGAGGGAGCCTGAGAGGCAGATACTAAATGTTCCTGCTTGGGAGCAGACTCTTCCCCCAGGAGCTCCCCGCGCAGTTCCGTGCCGCTCTGGAGTCGCTGATGGCATTTAGGCTGCACAGCTGCATTTTGTTGGCTGTGACTGGCAGGGTGCATGTATTTTTCTTGGTATTTGCCCTGAATTCCTTCAACACTAGAGGACTTGTTCACGGTCACGCTGCACAAGCCCACACAGAGKTTTCTGGAATTGTATTTAAAGAATAACTGTTCTTTCTTGTTCTTACCCCGGAGATTAATGAAAGTATTAAAGTGGGTTGGACATAATCTTTTCACATAATAGGCTGACCTAATTAGCTGAATTCAGTCTTTGCAGTGAAAAATGTGCCCAAATACTTTGTGAGCGCTCTTATTTGAAATGCTTTACTTTTAGAATGGAAATCAGGATAGAGCTGGGCAATCTTGGGTGAATCACATTACCTCTGCCTACCTTATTTTCCAGGCTGAAAAGTAGGAAAGATGAGATTGATATTCCTTAAGTGCTTTGAAAGAAAGAGCTAGACACCTCTGATGACTGAGGATCTGTAGGAGGAGGGGGGATCTTACGAGATAGGTATTATATTTCACATATTTCAATGAAATCTATGAAAGATGCATTATTATAAGCAAGGTTGTGTAACGATTATGTATAAAAAAATACCATCAGTGTTATTAGATTCCTTGAGGTACTTTCTTTCCCATTTTACTCCAGATGTTTCGCTGTTGCCAGCTTTTCATCCTGTTCTGCCTCTTGCAGTGTTAGATGAATTCAATCTGTTTTCTCTCTAAATCTTATTTTAAAATAGAGGTTTTACTGTTTTGAAGAAAAAATGATCAGCCCTTGAAGACATCTTAGAATAGGCAGTATGCTAAATATCATCCAAAATATCTTTTATTAAAAGGAATCCATCATAATGCTGACTTTAAAAACTCATAAAAAAAAGGAAATATTTAAATGAAATATTTGCCAAGAATTTGCCTGGCATTGCATAGGAAGGGGGTATTCATGTTTCCCTATCAGAAAACTTGCTTAAAAATTTGAGCTGTGGAGTACAGATTTTCTTGTCAAATCATTCCCCTTAGCCCTTGCTTTGTGTTAACCCAGAAATGCATATTTCCCATCTATACTGCAAGCATGGTTATTTTGGGTTTAAGACAAAAGAAAAGGGAGAAAATTGATTTCTAGCTACACATTCATCTGTTTGTCAGGAAGGTGTCTGTTTTTCTGCCTTCGTGGGATCTGCTGTACCATGTGCTGATTCAGTGATCTGACTGCACACTCACTATTCATATATTTTTTTAATTTAATAGCAGAGAGTATAAAAATAACTGTTAAGACCATCTGTACCTGAGCAGATTGCCATTTATGCAACAAATTGGAGCCTGTTATGTCATAATAAACTATTYAAATGTTGCTTACTGCTTTGTGGGATTTTTAGAAGAGTTGGAAAGCAGGTAACCCCAGGAGCCTTGAGTTACATTTTTAATTCTGCAAAGGGCAAAGTAGCTCATACATCTTCCCCCTGATTTTACCTCACACAATGAACAAAGCAGGTGAGCTAAGCACAGATCTGAGCATTTTATAATTTTCCAAGTGGCTCTTTTGTGATTTTTCCTCGTCATCTCCCATTATTAGCAGGAATTGAATTAGTACAAAAACCAGACTCCTTTAAAACTGCCTATCTAGGGTTGACTTGATAACAAAGTTGTTATACTTGGTAGTAGGCCAGATGTGCCTCCATATTTCATGTGTTCTGCAAGCTTTCTAGCCAGCTACTGGTTTCATTTAAAATTAAATCTTCTATCTCTCCCTGGGCATAAGAGCATTTGAAGTACTTTTCACTGCACAGTCCAAAGGTGACTTGTAGTACCTGCTGAGAACTGTGTGAACTGGAAGTGCTCACAGTTAGTTCCTGGGTCTCGTTTGGAGACACTAACCCACAAATGAGCAGTGGAAAGGAGAATATTCMTCAGGTGGAACTGTTTGTCTCCTTCCTTCCAGCATAAATTGAGTGATTTTCCACAAAGAGAGACTAGAGTTATTCACTAGGTCAGTTAAGTGCAGACCAAAGTGTATCTAACTGTGTGTGTTTTTTATGCTCTTACAAGAAATGTGTCTGAGAGGTCCCATGAAATGGAAAAAGGAATTGAGAGGTTGCTTGGCACTTTCTCAGAGTTACTTATACTGATCAGCACTCTGATAGCTCCTATTATTAAAACCATTCTTCCAAATAAAGGACTTGTGCTTTGAATTGTTTGTACTTTTTTGTCTAAAAGCCTGGTCTTAAAGAGAGTAGCCGTTGCTTTACTGGGATATTACTTTCTGATTCAGTGCAATTCCCCCATGTACTCCATTAGCTCAGCATAAGCTATTCTCAAAGGCTCCAGTCATCCTTGTAAGAGAAGTAACCATCATGTAAAACATGCTTTTCCATAACTATTCCTGGTATTCATAAATAATAGACTAAGGCTTTGTCTTCACTGCAGTGTTATCTCAAACTATCAGGCTTTACCTTTGCCCTCGCTCCTTATCCAACACACACACAAGCCACTGATTCAGATTAAACAGTGCTTTAGAAATAAGATTTTGTTCTGTCTGTTAACTTTTCCATACTAACAGCTTTAAATAGTAAAGCAGAAGGGATTTAGGTGTAAACCTATATAGGGTCATGTCTATAGGGTCATGAGCAGTTTTAAGATGACTTTTGATTTGTACTTCAGGCAAACTCTAATCCTTTAGCATGAAACTAAGACTGAAGATGTTACGGGAGGGTGTCCTCCTCAACAGCTGAAGGACATTCACTACATAGGATCAGATTAAACTAAGTCCAAAACAGTCCCTCCCCYCAAAAAACGTGTCTCTGTGGATGTCAAGTCCTCAGTACCAACTGTTTCCCAGTACAGAGCCACTCTCATTGTGGCACGGTGCTTGGCAGTGTAAATACAACCTTTAGCACAATGCATCAGCTGTAAATCTACATGCAGTCAACTTGTGTGCTTGAATGATGCTTCCTGTTCTCYGCAGTTTCCCAGTATAACTGCTCTCTCTTGAGACTGGCTATCTTGAATGGAGTAATTCAGACTAATAGTTCATAATAATAGAATAAATCTTAATGCTCACTTGCATGCAGTAAATGTGGAATCTTCCCTTCAAGGTTTTCCTGACTTCTCAATTTGTTAAATCACTTATTTCTGCATTTGCTCTTTTGTTAAATGTCTACTTTAATCAATGCAATGGGACTTTCTAATATCACTGAGATATATTTCATATTCACATCAGAGGAGAACAAAGCCCAGCAGGAGAGCATCTGAGCATCTTTTATTTTTCCTCTTTTTTCTTTTTTTTCTTTTTTTTTTCCCTTTCTTTTTAAACATAGGGCATTTGGTTTTGCTGAACAGATTGGATGTTCTGAGTTGGAATGATGAGTGGTTGGGCGGCATCCTATCTTTAATTAGGTTGCACACAGACTGAGTCATTTTGCAAGCTAGACATTTTAATTTACAATCCACTGCACTGCAGCACTCTTCGGGGCCTTCTGCTGTGTAATAAGGTATTCAACTTGCAGCACAGGCTTTAAAAATACTGGAGGACTCCCTGTGACTTCACTTGTTTATTTTATATTTTCAATTTTAGTTGCAAATCAAACATGCAGTTACAGAAGCTGAAATTCAGAAGCTGAAGACGAAGGTAAGGCTCAATATGCAGTTAATACACACTGTTTTTTTTTCTTCTCTCCCTCATACAAAATCCGGTCTGAAGACATGTATCTTTATGTGGGTGGAGAAGTCAGCGTCCGTATTAAAGATTAGAAAAACACAGTGGCTCAGCTAAATCATGTCTTCACGTATATGCTCTATTTAAAGTTTCAATAAAATCTTAATTGCTGCTACTAAAGCTGCCAACTTGTATACCTTCATTTAAACATGCATTTTTAAGGATAATATAGTGGCTGAATGGCAGATTTCTAGTTTTAAAATACTAATGCATTTTCTCAGTTTAAAAAATWATATTTTGATTGAATATTTGCATCTGTGTGAGTAATTTTCTATCTGGTAATGATGTTAAGGCATCCTGTTCAGTATAGGTTTGCTTTCTTATTTTTTTTTCATTTTTCTCTTTCTAAGTATTAGCTTATTAAAAGATGTTTAATAAAATTACATTTTCTTCACAGGAAAAGAAAAACGGTGCCAATGGGATACTGTTCTCTCTAAGAGATGCTCTGGAAAGGAAAAAGCTTGTCAGTTTAACAGAAAACATTTTCTCGAAATTGGTTGCCGGATATTAGGTTCAATTGGCTATAACAATAAAAATAAACTGTACTTTTTTATAGTAGGATAACCTTTATGGGAAGTTCAACTGATAATACAGTTGTTGAGTAATGTTAGGTTTTTAACAACACCTTTCTCCTTGAGCAGTTTACAGAAGGAAGAAAAAAGTGGAAGCCAGTGAAATTTTTACTTCAGAAATGAATTTGGCTGGTTATTTCTTTCTAGCAACCATTTGCACTCACCATGCATTTTACTTAGTGTTGATCAAAACCGCATATATTATTGTTAAAAACAAATTCATAATGCAACTGTTTTCTGTAATGACTCTTTCAGGTTAGAGAGTCAGAAACCTTTTCTCCCTTCTAGTTTCTGTTGCCATCTGTCAATCAGAGCTGCACGGTTAAATCCATTAGGGTTGTGCCCATTGACTTCATGGCAGTGATGTGTGGGTGGAAGCCCTCAGCTGGGCAAATCCATTTGCAAGATTAGGGCTATTGAACCTCTTTGTGTTGCAGCTCTTTACCTGACCTTTTGAATAGAGCCCAGGAAAGTGCGGCTAGGGTAGGTAAATTACCACTAAAACTGCAAACACTTTCCTCCTTTTGCATATATATCGTTCATGATAGCAGCAGAACTGGCCCAGAGCAAGTTAAATGGTGTTGCTAAGTAAACACGGATGTGGAAGGCCTGGTTTCCTTTCGTAAGTCCTGGGAACTGAAATGTGCAGTATATCCAGCCAAGCATTCAGACCTGCAGCTGGCCTCGCTTGGGCAGYGTGAGGTACCTGACAAAGCAGTGCAACTGCACTGGTGGTAAAGCTAAGGAGGAGTGATAAATTTGCTAGAATCAGCACCAGAAAGGACAAGCTACCACAGCAGGGCATATTTTTCTTTTAATAGCAAGAACTTATAACTCGATAAGCAAATTTAAATAAAACAAGAGTACTAYATTTAAAAAAGGTTCTCTTTTTACTCCCAATAGTTCTAGAATAGTAGCAGTGTTAGATTTAAGCTCTCTGTGCTTGCTGAAGAAATGAAAAAACAAAAATAAATGATTCTGGGTTACAACTTGATGTTAAGTTTTACATTGTTCTCCCGAACTATTTTGTTTCACTTTCTAGATTAAGAAAGATTATGACATGAAAATAGGCACTGTAAGAGTTCAAAAAAAAAAATCTAATTTGGGGAAACGGAATTAGATTGGATGCAGTTGGCTTGTTTCTCTTGTTTTCCAAACTGATGGTCTTCAATCAAATTAAATATAGAAACTGGAACAGATTTTCCCCCCACTTCCTCCCTCYCCCCACCCAAAGAATATCTAATTTTAGGAAAGTGTATGAATGGGTTGTATCACCTAGGCCAGATGCATGGAGCAAACACACTCCTAGCGATGACTGATTAACCCAGCAGTGTGCCCGAGCAATGCACTACAGAAATTTGGAAAGCATGCTAGTATATCCCTGAGAAGCTTAGAAGCTGCACTGCAACGCAAAGCAAAGGCCCTGCCTCATTTTGAGGCAGAATAACRTGAAAGTCAGCCTGTTCTTCTCGTCTTGGAATCCTTTTCATTGCTCGCACATTATTTTTGTGTTTAGTAATTCATTGATTTTTCACTGTTCGTGTTGACTGACTTCACTCTAAACTATTAAGCTGTACTTTTCACCCTTAACTGACAGGCATCTCTACTATTTTGTGCAGCTGCAGGCTGCTGAGAATGAGAAAGTGAGGTGGGAAGTGGAGAAGACCCAGCTCCAGCAGAACATTGAGGAGAATAAGGAAAGGATGATGAAATTAGAGAGTTACTGGATTGAGGCACAAACCTTGTGTCACACTGTGAATGAGCACCTCAAGGAGACGCAAAGCCAATATCAGGCCCTGGAAAAGAAATATAACAAGGCAAAGAAATTAATCAAGGATTTTCAGCAAAAGTAAGCAGCTGCATTAGCTTAGCAATTGAATTAGTGGCCAGAGAGAAACTTTGAAATATGAAACCCATTATTAAAGGCCTGTAAGATAAACAGTATTTTTCACAATAAAAGTGTAACTAAATGAAGAATTGGTATATARAAACCATGTTGGAATATTTCAGACCTGCTAGCATAAATTTGTAGTCATGTTTTATTAGCTGGATTCACTCCTGCTGTGTACTAATGTAACATAAAAAAGCAAATTGTGTGGATACACTTTTGCATTTTATTTTTCTTCTYATAGATGCCAGGAATGTTTGAGGTGAGTTGAGCTAACTGATGATTAGCTGGTCCCCTCTGTTTCATGTCCCCTCTCCATAATGGCTAGCAAGAATAATAACATCCTGCCTTTCTATTACAGGTTCTATTCCTCAGACTTTATTTTGAGGATTTTTTTTTAATACTACATAACTACAGTCATTTAGCAAAGAAAACTCATTTCTCCAAAACATGCAGCTATGTCAAGTGTCAGCTGGGAAAGCAGAAGTGAATATCCTGTTCCATTAAAAAGGAAGTAAAGATACTAGATTTTTACATTGTAGTCAACAAGTCATTACCCATCTTGGAATTTCATAACTGCTACAGAAGTGGCTGACATCTCATGTGCTCTCGGTCACAAACCTCTTAGGGCTTCAAAGCAAAAAGAAAATGCCTAGCTAGAATGATTCTGCTTAGTTTTTTTATTGCTATTCTAACTTATATTTGTGAAATATATGGTTAAACATTTTAAACTACTTCAGTCTCCTAAAATCACCAAACAGATTTCTTTATAGCCTGCTAGAAAATGATGTACTGCCTTGCAGTGAAAGTGTATAGTCACAGTCCTGTAAAACAGAGCTTCCATCCCATCTCCCACAGCAGAACTCAGCATAAACTGAGCAAATGTTGCTTCCATTGGATATAAAAATTATGAAAACATAAAGTCAGTTTAACAGTTCTGATTAGAACTGTTAGTTAGTTCAGAATTAATTCAGAATTAGTTCAGAATTAGTTCCGAAAAACTGAGATTGTTACTTTTATCAGCTAAGTTCCCATTATTGTTTTTTTATACCACATTCACTKAGACTGCTAAGTAACTGTTTCGGGTTTTGTCCTGTTTGCAATTTATTGCTAATTTTCAGGTTAATAGTAAAATATGTTAACTACATAATTTTTGATGCATATTTTAAGAGCCAGAATAGTGTATTTTCTGTTTGAACCTGCCTGTTCTGATACCAGCAAATACATCTTTTTCTCTAAGAGAACTTGACTTCATTAAACGCCAGGAAGCTGAACGAAAGAAAATAGAAGATTTGGAGAAAGAACATCTGGCAGAGGTTCAAGGCTTGCAAACTCGTGTGAGTCATATTTACTCAAATGCTTGAAGAATGAGATAAGTCTGTCTGATAGTCTGAAAAGAAAAAAAGATTTTATAGATGTTTGTGTGCAAGGTGCGGGTAATAATGGATTATATTTCTTYCAGATCCGAGACTTGGAAGCAGAAGTTTTCAGGCTATTGAAGCAAAATGGGAGCCAGGTTAACAACAACAACAACATTTTTGAGAGGCAGACATCTTTGGGAGAGGTTTCTAGAGGAGATCCAGTGGAAAATCTAGATACTAAGCAGGTGTCCTGTCTGGATGGCTTAAATCAAGGTTTGTTTGAACCAACCCGTAACTCCTATTAATGTATAGGCTAATAATACAATTATAATKTAGCATTTAAGGAAAACAAAGGATAACACAGGGATCCATTTTTGTTTATTTATTTGTTCATTTTTTCCAAAGTTCAGTCTCATGGTAACTCTACCAGTTTCAGTTATACCAAGTAATGACAATACTGATTCCCAAAACAGCCCTACAATGTATATCCTTTGTAAAGTGGAAGTGATTAATATCTGCTAATAAAACAAAGATTAATATATCAATACTGATTTCTTAAAGTTTAAATGAATTTCAGTGGGGTACTATGAACATCTAGGTCCAATTTGATGGTTCTGTTATGTTAATGAAGTGGGAGGAAACTGTTTTCTCCTGTATTCCTACATCTGTCCTTAATTATCCAACYACAAAAGATCAAATAAGAACAGAATTATCTGAATGAGAAAAATGAAGTATTTGAGAAAGAATGAGAATTTGTATATATCTGCATTGGACCTATCAAAGTACCTATGTAGAAGACTGTGTGTGTGTGTGTGTGCGAGCACATGTGCATGTTTGTACATCAGTGTACGAGTCTGTGTTTGTGCATATTATTAGCAGTAAACAGCACGAGTGAACTACATGCATAAAGTGCACCTGAATTATAAAATTGGATGGACATAATTGAATAGAGTTAACCATGATGATGATGCGCARTTGATTTTCAGACCTTGGAGATATTCTTTTTCCTCTAAATTATTGCTTTCCTGGTTTTGTTTTGTATTTTTGGAGAACATAGTGAAATGTAAATACATTTTATTCATGCCATATGCTTGAATGTGATATTGCTCTTTTCCATATTTCTCTAGTGATTTTTTTGWTGATTCACAGTGGGTGTGTGTTGAATACAGATATTCATTGTTGGTGATTGCATCATTGCAATGGAAATAATAATTGCTAAGATAATATTGGTGGTTCTAGTTTTTTTTTCCCATCTCAATTKTTAGCCTATCAGTTAAATTGCTATGTTCTGTGCTTTACTTCACRTTTATCAAGTCTTTTTTCTTGTTGTAGTTCTGTAGCTTTCTTAAAATTTCATAGGAACTACTTCTAAAATTCAGCAAGSTTAAAAAATAAGTTTCTTAATAGTGTTTATCTATATATTTACAAAAGGAAAGGAACTCATATGCAAAAGGTGTGGAAAGAAAAATAGTGTAAAATAAAGGAGGTGTAGATTGTCATAGGTGAAACTGCAGTTTGTGAGATTTGGATGAATTCTGGTAGCAGGGTAAGTGTAACCTTTACCTGGTTTGCATAGTAAGGGTCATTGCCATTATCCAGGCTGTGCCACTGAAAATATACTAACAACTTTCATACYTGTAGTTAGAGTTCTAAAATACGTAATTGCAGTTGGTTCTTCACAGATGAAGTATATGAAATATATGCAGAATCAAAGCTGATTTTAGGCCCACAACCTTGGATAAAAATTGTTTGTGGCAGGAGCAGTCCTTATTGTATATTTAGTGACATTCTGTAAAGTCATATATTGAGCTTATGACAAAGGAACACCAGACTGTTCCTATACAGATTTTTATTTTACATAAACTATAATATTATTTATTTCTCTAATGTAAAATTATGCAGTACATTACCAGATAAATTGATTTCTAGCAGGCAGAGATGTTTTATTAACATTGATGTTTTAACAGTTATTTCATATATGGACGCAAACTGAATATTGCTCTACAAACAAATCAATATGAATTACRTTTTTAGCATAATATGTACATAGAAAAGAGCTTCTTGCACTGAAGCTGTAGCTGTGAGATGTGYGGACCTCGTGGAATTAGTTTTCACAGATCTCCACAGAGCTTTCCTTCTAGCAAATGTTTATTTACTGAAAGCCTGGCAGTTTTGAAAAGCGCTCTTTGACAAGGAAGTCTACATTTCTACCCTAGATACTCAATAAGTGATACAAAAGTATTTACAATTTAGCAACACTTTATAGAATTGATTACAGTAGTTTGCAAGGTGTGTACTGGTTATTGGCCTAACAAAAATGATGTTTGCAATTACTGTTTAATAGTGTTATCTCATATCAGAAAATAGAGAGCTAAAATCCATTCTAAGACACCCCTACCTAAGTGAAAGGTGAATTCCATTCGCTTCTGGAATTCATTGAAATATTGTCTTGAAATAAGACTACACCATTTCTTTCAGATTTTACTTTTTTTGTATTATWATATAAGGGGATTTCTAAATATAAAAATTCAAGAACTTTCCTTGTAAAATATTAAACTCAATGTGTGATTAGTTTCAAATTATAATTTTTGATTGATATTAAAAGAATTTCCTTTCTTCACTGGGAAAATCTTCCTTTGGAAAAACACTGCCCAGTGTCCAGGACTTCYAAAGAGTAATATAGTACCTGCAAATTTAAATGTTCAAGCTTAAGGACCTAAACACAGATATTTGATAGAGAAAGTGAATAGTTTTTCTCCATAATCATCAATAATATTTTGAAAGCAGGAAAAACATGATTAAGTCTAGGATTCCAGTTTGAATTTGAATTCTCAATGAGAGAAAAATAAAAGCCTCTTTTTAAAATACTCTCTGAACATGTAGTGTACTTTACCTCTATTCTTTCCTCAGACTTGGTGAAAGAAAGAGCTTATTTCTCTATCGCCATTCCTGTGTAATGCTTCTAAGAAAAGGACCTGACATTGTCTAGTAATACAGGTAGTTACTAATCAGCCTGTGCTGTTCTCAGAAGGACCTGGGAAGGGCAGAGAAGTCCCCCCRGTGTCTTTGGATGGTGAACAGATCTCCATGGTGGGCCGTGTGCAGTCCATATCTTCTGCCCACCTTTTGATTTTTTATTCTATTATTATGTTCTATTTGATTTTATTGAGTGTAACAGACTTTTTGTTGAGCCTCAGTATTAGGTTTGTGGGATGGGCCTGCTTATAGAATCCACATCCTATATATTTTACTCCATAGTTTGCAGGTATGTTCCTTCACAGAGAAACAGATATGCAAAAATACATATTTTATGTATTAATACATATCAATACAATACAATAATCTTAATTAAAATGATACTAAACATGGTTCTTGCCTCACTGTGATTTGAGGTGTTTATTATAGTCCTGTGTGGCAGTAGTAATGTATGTGGCGTGACACACCARCACAGCTCTACCTGCTGTGTAGGTGGCCTGGCCATGTTTAACGTCGTGTTTCACCATGTGGCTCCTCAGTCCTCTTGCAGCATAACCTGGTATTGACAGGCTGCCAGAGACAGTAGTGGAAGCTGCAGAGAGAAAATCAAAACCATTAAGGCCCATCAAATTCTCCTTGTTTTGTCTTGGAATACTCGAAGCCCATGACTTGTGTGCTTGTTACAAGTTTTGATTTATTCTTAGGTGCCATAAAAATAGAACAAGCACGTTGTAGCTTCCTGCTTTCTTGGTCATGAGCCACAGCAGTTTGTCTGACATGAAGAACTAAGCATCTTTATAGAGGAGCTGGGAGTATTCAGTGACTTGAAATGCACACAGTTGAGAGCTGGCACTGACTTAGATGCTATTTCTTACTTCTGTGCAGGGGCCCGAGAAAGCCATTTTGATGCTTATGCCCTCTGAGTGTCTTGGGATACCCTGACATGCATCAGTTCACAGAAGGAGTTTTGAAATCCATTAGTGTCTAATGGAAAAACAGTGGGAGAAGAGGCAAGCTGTTTCCTGCTCTGCAGAGTTACTAAAATAATTCAGAGAGAAGCCCTCGAGAGTGAAGTGTTTCCAGGCCTGCTCAAAGAAAGTCTAATTAAATTGTCTGTGTGACAAAATTTAACCTGTTAGAAGTTTTATGTAAGCAATTTATGAGGCTCCCCAGTAGGTTGGGAAATGCCTAGAGAGATGCTCTTGTGTTAGCATCAGAGAGGAGCAAAGGAGGAAGTAGGGACCTGAGCGTGGCACCAGGGACCACGGGCAGAGGTCTCACCGGCAAGATGTTGTAATATCACTTATAACATCTCTGCAAGCACAGCAAGCAGATCCGGCAGTGCAAACAAGGGTCTACTGAGTGTCCAAAGGAGTAGCCAAGTTCATAGTGACGGGGCAGCTCTGGGGTTGAGCTGGGAAACCAGTCTGCAGSTCGGGTTCAGGGTGAGGATCAGCTTTGTGATTGATACCAGTATCAGCCACAATCAGCCAACTCCCTGTGGCGAGGCAGCTCCGAGGTTGAGCTGGGAGATCAGACCAAGGGAGAGAAACCAGTTTAAATGCTGCTTTGAAGAGAAAGCAGGGGAGGCTCCTCCTGGTGCTTATTCAGCTTTTTGGCAGCCTGCTGGCCCAGGATGAGGGACCCGCATTGCATCAGAGAGCTGCTGTTGGGCCCCGACCACCCAACCCCTGTGGGGAGGAAGGGGCAAGCACCTGGCCCTGGAAGTTTGCTGGCGTCAACAGGACTGGAGCAAGCACTCAGGCCCAGGAGCACTTGGAGCACCACGTCCTGAGTTTGCATTCGAGCTGTGAAAAGAAGGGTTATATGGAACTGAAAAAATGAATGTAAGCAGTAGAAGGCATGACAATGTGCACTTGTCTTACTGAATGCTGACAGAGGGAGCATATTTACAAGTCTCATAGTGCTAGTGGTGTCCAGTGCTAGTGGATACATAAGTGTATCTATGTATATGGATTTTAACTCTTAAACAGAGAAGGGAAGCAAAACGTTACTGGAAGTTTTGCAGTATTTTAAGAAGGKAACATCCATCTGCAAGAAGAAAAATGAGTTTGAAGCCATGTCTTACCCTTCAGTTGTTTCATGGCTTACTAACTCAGTCTGTGGCCGAGATTTCAAGAGCTTGAGCTGATCTGACAGCTCACTAATGCTGCAGTGGGAATACCCTGCACCATCCATCCCTATATATAGCTACATATTTCTGTCTCTCTACTGTTCTAGCACTTACTCCTGTGAACTCATCTGATTCACAGAAACGGCAGAAGATAGACCTRGGAAGGAGGAAAGTTGGAGCGTCAAACTAGAATTGAGAAAAGCTGCAATCTAAGCCCTAGGAGGGAGGACAGAGCCAGGGATTGTAGCAGCAGAAGGAAGAGCAGGATCTTTGGCAGTTGGAATAAATCACTGAGTTATTTCTGCCCTTGGTGGAATAACATTCAGTAAGACTAGATGCTGTAGAAAGCAATGGGAAAAAAATTCACTGTCCCTAAGTTGATAGGAAATTTTCCTTTGTCTTCAGTAAAACTAAGATGTCTCCCTTTATCTTTTTTTGTTTGTTCTTGTTAAGGAAAAATATCTGTAACAAAATCAGCTTCTAATTTCTGATCAGGAGCAGTAGAATCAGCGCACATCCTGGTTCATTCAGTACAGATGAAGTTCTGTAAAACTTTTTAAAATCTCTCTGAAAGGTAACCAGAATTTCCCACTTGCCTTATTAAAAGAGAGGTAAGATGATGATTATCAGGAGATGAACGTTCTGGTGGTGGTCAGGCTACAGCATGCCTGGCTAGAATATAACTTGAAGTTTTCATAGGATTATGAAAGCCAATATAGCAAATGAAAACATCTATTGAAAAGCTATGAATAATTTATTTTGGTTCAGATTATGAGGCTGCTATTCAGATCTCATTGAGGCTTTACCGAGGATTAAAGTATCTAAGTATCTCTCAGTAAGTATGTGAAATGACTCAAGGTGTGTCCCTTATGATGTACATGAGATTTCTACATTTTATTTTATTTATATCTTATATATTATTCTTTAATAAAAAAATTCTCTATGCATAATTTTGGAGTTTCTTTCTAGAACTTCATGTGTATCTAAATCTAATTTCATACAAAACCACTGCTTTTTGTGTCTTTTTATTAGAAGAGCGCATTTAATTAGTATATTAAGAATGCAATACTTAGACAAGTAAATTAGTCTAATGAGTTCTGATCAATTCCTTTAGTTTTTACTTTTAAGGAYTGCAAAAAAATAAAATAAAGTTGAATCCATTCTTTGGTGGAAGGCAAGCTGAGAAAACTGCAGTTAAGTTAGCTTCTTTTGTAGAGGAAACTCATATATGCCTAGTATACTTGACCCACAAGATGTTCTTGAGTTAGAACAGCTTTGAAAGTAGGCAGATAAGGCTGATTCATTGTTCTGGTTTTATATGATATATTTCCCCGATTTTCATGCATTTCACACAATGGTGTTTGGGCAGTAGATGAAAGGGGAAAGATCTAAAACTGCCTTTCCTTCAGAAGATAGTAGAAAGGTTTTCTTGATTTTTCTAGCAAAGAAGTGTATGTACAAAGACAACAGAGATGAGGTACGAGTGGGAAGGTACAGGGCTCTTTTTTCATAGTGTGTGGATATTATGCATTCTTGCATTTTTTTTCAGTTCAATGTTTTGAATTGACTGTAGTAGAGTACATAATTTCTTGCACAACCCCCCCCTCCCAGCTTCCACAAGCACACGAATTTACAAAGGCTTAAAAAATYGGAGAATAGAGTAAATCTCCCAGCTTTCAGAGAGTTCCTCCGATGATTGTTTCGTTATTTCTTGGAGGGATAATTATTGTTGCTGCCAATTTTTCTGAGGGCCTTTGAGCTACCCGAACAGGATAAGGACGGCTCTGGCACCCGTGTCCTGCTCCACAGTTGTTCTAGCTGATGAGATGGCCCCTGGAGCCCCCCGCTGTCTCGTGTGGATACAGCACTTGGCCTTGCCATTACCTCCCTTGAGCTGCTGTGGTTCAGGGGCCACTTTGTGCACCTCCTGAGTGGGGTAATTTCACTTCGTTTTCACTGTCATGATAAACTTAATGTAACTGCGCTAACTGTTGCAGTGAAGTTTTGTTTCAGGTCTCAAGTTCTGCTTCAGAGCTGTTATGTTACTTTGCTCAACGTGTTCCGAGAACATGTTGGAGAGTTGAAACCAGACAGCTGTGACTGGTGATGACAGTTGCAGTAATGGTGGCTTCCTCTAGGTTCTTGATAAGATGCTTTACAGAGGGTCTTGTGATGTGATGTGCGTGCAAATGAGACAAGGTTAGTGTTAGGTCAATCTTAATGCTCTGTACTTGGGACCATGCTTGCTGGTGGAGAATGGTGCAGATAGACATGCTTTACTAAAAAACTAATATCTAAAAAAAAAAAAAAAAAAAGGAGTAATTTGAAGGTACTCTAAAAAAAAGCAAGGGTGTACAAGAGGAGGAGATAGCGGTTCTGAGGACAGTACAGTAAGGAAAGAAAGAACAAATACGAAAAAAAAAGCTTTTACTCTGTGGCAAACAATTGGAGCACCTAATTTGTATTGTTAGATATAACTTGGGACACCACATGCCCTCCATATCCAGAGGAGGAATGGGATTCCTTTCCACTTTCCCCTCCTGAGAGGGATAATGGAATAGAGTCATCAAGCTGTTCCACCCTAGGCCTGAAGGAAGGAGTTCAACACTGGCTTCCTAATCCTGTGACAGGCGGCTGACAAGTCAATCCAATTGCAAATGGTTATCTGATTATTTAGACACTCACTGTATGGCTCTGTGTGCTACTGGCTGAAGACATTGACTTGATTACAGGTTATATGTATTGTACAAGGTTATCTGGGGGGGAAAAGTATACTAGGTACAACAGAGAAACAATCTTTAAGCTTTTAAGYGATTTTGGATGTGATAAAATGTAGAGCAGCCAGAGGATTGCTGTAGATATTCCTTTGTAATTTGAACATAAACCTGAAAATGTGGTGAAACTAGAGGGGGAATGCTCTGTGGGGCGGCTCTGGGGGAAAACCAGCAGTCCAGGTGATCCCCATCAGGTGACACAGAGGTTTGTGACAAGTGAATTGGCTCACTGAGTTTAAATTGGTAGCTTCGCCCAGATGTTATGTGATGTATTTTAAAGAGCATTGAGATAAGGTTTACTTTACTTTATGTTCTTTGTGTGTTCCTTATTCTATATGCTGTAGTGGAGGATAATTCTTTATAGGTTGTGCACTAACAAGGAGGTTGGAGGGAGTCAGAGAGCATTCAGTTTTCAAATTAGTCCGCTGTATTTAACAACAGGAGATACTATTTTTGTGTTAGTGTGCATGATCCTTCATCTTAAAATGTTTGTCTTTTGCGAGATTTTTAAATATTTGGAGCTGATCATTGTTTTTTCATTATGCATTTCCTGGATCTGTACAGAATAACTTGCTAATTGTTTATGTAAATCACTTTTTTGCATGTGCACTTTAAATAGTTCTGAAGATACAGGTACAAATAAAACAAGAAAATGTGCATATACCCCAGTTACAGGCAGTATCATAGGAACGTAGCTTARGTCCAAAAGATTCTTGTATTAAATAGCTTTGAATTGTCTTTTCCTACAGATTTCAATGAAGCGGTGCCAGAAACAGAGAGGCTGGACTCTAAAGCTCTGAAAACTCGAGCCCAACTTTCAGTGAAGAACAAGCGTCAGAGGCCTACGAGGACAAGGCTCTATGACAGTATCAGCTCGACTGACGGAGAGGACAGCCTGGAGCGAAAGGTGAGAAGGGCGCTCTCCTCTCTCTCACTCCTCCTCTGGAGTGTGACGTTACCTGTAAGTCGTTTCATTCTCTGTCTTTGTCCTTTCAGTGTAGCACAGGCAGTGTTTACTCGTCTGTGGCCAGCGTGCTGTGAATGCCCTTGAGTGACATGCAAGTCCACTCTGCTCTGAGTCAGCTCAGCCTRTCTGTATTGTTTGGTTTGGTTATTGCTTTCTTTTTTTACAGGAATTGTGGCCTTTGAGATTTAAGTGCTTTATGATGCAGAATGGGTCATCTTATATGTGCAGGAGATGAAAGGAACTTGAAGCCTGCATTTGACTATTTGCTAAAACAATCAATACAACATTTACTCATTGTTTTGTCTGATTCTGACTTTGGTCTGAAAACAAATACCAATAAGCAAAAAAACTGTGTGGTATTAAAAGGTAATAATGTGAATTGCTAGAGTGTTTCTTAAAGTAGTAAGGATAATGAAGAAAAAGATTGCATATTCAATGTAAACCTTGCTGTGACCGGTTATTAAATGGCATAACCTGCTTTATAATCTCTTATACCAACAGCCGTCAGACAGTTACAGTAGTCCCATGCACATTTCCAAATCAGCTCTGCCCCCATGTGTGAGAGCATCCTCACCAGCATCAGATTCTGGTGCTTCCTCCCTCTCCCCAGTGGCTAGCAGTGCAGCATTCGCGTTTGACAACCTAACAGAGAAACCAGAAGAAGGACAACAGCACCAAGGAGGTGCCTTTTCCCATCTTGCTTGGGGGCACTCTCCTCTTCCCTCACCTTCAAAATCTGCGCCCAGCTCTGAAGCATCTTCTTTCCATCACCCAGCTGGCAGGAGTGTTTTACAAGATGAAGGTATTACTGTGTTTTGGTGCATCATTTTGCTCACATACATTTGCTTTGTGTATTTATGTTGTGTATTAGGACTTAACAGCTAAAAGGACATCTTCCTTGCTTCATAGCATACCTTACTATGACCTTGCAGTCAAAACTTCAGAAGTCAGTTATAGTTGTCCTTTGTGTGATGGTATGAGAAAGGACAGGAGGAAGTTTTAGAAAATTTTACAAAATTATTTTCTCCGTTTTAAAATACAAAGTATTTTTAAATGACTTCTTTTTAATTAATAATTAAAAATCTTCAGCATCTGCCACTTGACACTGCTAGATTTGTTTTTTTGGAGGGTGGGGAAAGGATCTTAAGGCAAGAATGACAGATTTTCTGTAGTTTTGGATTACTAAGAGGCATCATAGTCTAGATTAAAGAAAAGATCAGTGACTGAGGACTTGTCATTTGTACATAACATTTTCCAAGTCACTTGTTAGAAAACTTGTTTGTATTGCTATTTATTTAGCCCAGGTTCTTTAAATGTAAACTGGGTAGTTGGTTTGGTGTATTAACACTACGATATGGTACAGACTTCTGAACAGTCCTTTTCTGACATTTTGAGAATGCAAATTTGGCATTTTACATGGTTTTACCATTCCTTGATATGCACCTGACATTCTCTAACTGTGACACAGGCTAAAATACCACTAATGAAAAATGTTCACAAGTGAGGACTTAGCAATAAGGATGGAATGGTTCTTAATTAGCTAGAAAGAACAACTTGTTTAGGATTTTTGTTTGTTTGTGTGACTGAAAAAGCTTGCAGTTCATTTGCAACCTGCTATTTCTTCCTGTCTTCCTACAGGGTTCCATTCTTACCAAATCAGATTAAGTTTTGTGGGATTTGGAATACATTAATTTATATGCTARCATTTTTACACGGATTCTGAAATTGCTGGTCTATTGGTGTAGCTGCTAATGAATCAACTTCAAATTGGAGGACATAACTYTCCAGGCTCTTACTTCAGTATGTGATGAATGTTCATTAGTGAAGTTCTGAATCTGGCATTTTCATCCAGCCTAGGAAAAATGCCTTGATGAGGATTGTTCCTGGAGCGTACAGAATAGGGGAGTGTGTTGTATCCATTGTGCTGCTCTTTCTTCTCCAATCTGTAGCTAAATGAACTGTGTCGTGCTTTCCCACCATGACCATTATGTAAACAACCAGTGCTTTAGAGTGTATCCAGGTTCTAATGAGTACATGAAAATTAAAGTACAGCAATTTAGTTTCAAATGGAAAATTTACAATTTAATAAGCTCTACAGAACAGAAATATCCTCAAGCAGTTGCTTTGCAACCAGTGTTACAGTGGCATTGTTTTAATTGATTATTAATTTGGCTATCAAACTTGCTGTTCAGGAAAGAGAGAGGGCCAATGACTAAAAGTATTTATTTTATTTTGTGTGTTCAGAAAGCTTTTTGTAGAGCAAGAAAGAGAATATGTTTGTGGATGAATCTTTGTGAGCTGGTTAGCTCCAATTAGCCAAAGTGACAGTGGAAGGAGTGGGAAGAGCATGAGATCGATTCCTTCCATTGTGAAATAGTAGGGAATTTTGCTTGTTTGCCTTTTAAGCACTACTTTTTAATCCTTTTAAATGGTCTTTTTTATCATTTTTTTGAGTTTTGACAGTTTTGCACAACAGCATCATTTGATAAGGCAGCTGGATTGACCACTGATGTGAAGCAGACTTGTTGTGACTTTGGGGGAAAGAAAAGAGTTAGATCTGGTCTCCTTCATCAGGTGCAGACCACTTAGACCAGCTTTTTGTGGCTCCCTCTGGTGGATTAAATGGCCACTGTGTGATTTAATCTGAGGAACCAGCTCTCGGTTCCCTCTCCAGAGACCTCCAGGGAGACAGGGAAGATGCACTCATGAAGGATGTACAGATGCCTCTCGTGTCCCAGTGGTATCTGCAGCCCTATTTTGTGTCCACCATGGGCTGAGCAGAGTGGTTCTCTGCATATGCTGGTCCCTGTAGGTCAAACTGGATGCACTTCTAGGGCCGCCTTTGGGACCTCCTCCATCCACCATCTCCCTTAGCTGTTAGCCAGGATGACTGTGTTTCCCAGAAAATGAGCACTGTTGGCCCAGGGCTGAAGAGAAGCTTGCTATAGCCAGTGTATGTCCCTGCTGGGACTAATTCTCCATGTCATTTCCTCAAGTGCAGCAGCAAAACCTAAATCTGCTAAATGATTTTATTATTTTTCCACTACAAAACCTGTATCTTTTATAGTTAAATTTACTTTGCTTGATATGTTTCTCATACCCACCCTGTAAGCCCCCAAACCCTGCTTGCCTGTGAATAACTAACATGCAAATAAACATCACAGTCTTTTATTCTGGAAGCTGACAAGTTTGGCAGCAGCTGAATGGGAAGGATAAATGTAAGAGAGGAACCATGAGCAGATCTTTGAGGAGTAACAAGAGGCGTGTATGGGGTGTGGAAGTGATGCAGAGTSTGCAATGCCTAAAACCCTCCTCAGCCTCTGCTTGGAATGGATTTCTTCTCAAGAGATTTTCACTTGTTTTTGTCGATCTTTGTTTTATTTTTTTTTGCTCTTGGAACTTTTGTTGCTTTTGACATTAAGTTATATGTCACCCCTTTTTGATTTTTTTGGGGTTCTTTGTGTTGGCAGAAAGAGTTTGGTTTTTAGAGTATGAAAGTTGTGAAAGACTTCCTGCCTTTTCTATAATGATTTGAGTATGTTTTATGTTCTTTTTATTTTTTTTTTTACATGAATGAGAAGTTGGCTACATATTATCCACAGAGGAACTTTTATTTACATGGCAGACTGTCCTATAATAGTGCTGGGGTTATCACAGAATTAAGGAATGGTGGAAATTGGAAGRGACCTCTGGAGATYRTCTAGTTCAGCCCCTCTGCTCAAGCAGGATCATAATCCTTTGGGTTAATTCTGAGGGTTTCATTCACCTCAGCTAGAGTAAGAGAAACCCAGCAGAGTTTTCAGTTAAAAGTCACATTGTAAAAGTCACCAAACTATAAGTGACATAAAAGACTGMCCTTCATTTGCTTCTTGTAATTGGAGGCACTCTTTATATTTAAGAATCACAGAAACTGCATTGTAATTTTTCAACTTCAGTATGTTTTCTTCTAGCTTCTATTAAATGTTTCACTGGATGTTTTACATCCTCAGATACATTGTTTTAACTTTGTAGGTTCTWTAGACTGTTTCCTCTTTAAGTTTTAGCAATGTATGTAAAGGAAGACTATATTCCTCAAAGACCAGAGTTAGTTAGAAGTCTCAGAGCAAATGTATTAACTAAGACACAGTTAACTTCTTTTTTAAKGAAAATGGTTGGATTCAGGTTAAACATTCATTTTAATAAAGGCATTTAAGCACATCACTGCAACAATTAAACTCTTCTCTACAGTTCAAAATGGATTTCAACAAACATTTCTGCAGTAAAGCATGTACCAAAGAAGTTCCATAAAACAAACATAAGCTCTTACTACTGTGTTTAAAAGTGGATTCACTCTGATGTTGTCTTGCTSTATATTTTCTCACTAAAACACAGCCAAAATAATTTTTGCTAATTTAAATAGGCTTTCGATGTGTATTTTCAAAATATGAAGCTTTTTATTTATTTCACTTCATTTTCACAACATCTTTGAGAAAATGAGAAAACCACAAATAAATGATGTACTCACACACATGTACMCATATGTATTTAGAACGGATAAACTATTCTGGATGGAAGGTGGAATAACTGTCAGTAGCGATCAAAAATAATAATGTCTATTCTCCCATGTACAAATATATCCTAGATGGTGCCACATGTGCCCAGGCAGTAAGAACAACTAGCCCTACTATGGGGCAGGCAGAAAAACTAAAGCGAAAACTTGCAGATCTTGGGTAAGCATTTTGTTATTTAAAATATGTTTTTTTATTAAAAGGAATTGAAAATAAAATTTCAGAGGCTCTTTCTGATGTTTTCTAATATTGTTGTAGGGCCCCCTTGAGAAGGAGTTCAAACAAGGGAAAGAAGTGGAAAGAGAAAGAAGCTCTTAGGGTCACCTGTGGCAGTAGGTATGAGTGAAAGATTGAATATTCAAGAAACGTGGTGCCAAAAAGATTGGAAAAACTGAATCCTAGCAGATGAAAACATTAATAATCCTTCTTGTAAATTAAAACGCTTCTTTATGCTTTGAGACCAACTTTTGGTCTTGCAAACTTATTTCTTCTTAACAAACAGAAGGCTAATAGATAATCTAAAAATACTTGAAGGCCTATGCTGTGCAGTGCCAGTACTTCTGTTGTGTCCACTGATGGGGTTTGCAGATGCAGGTTATTAGAGCTGGCCTACAAGATGCACATGTAGACAGTTAGTAAGTCCCTTGGTCCAGATATCTTAACACAATTCCACTCAGTTTTAGTAAAAGACCCTAGTATAAGGATGGGCCGCAGGCCTTCACTGCAGCTTTGCTGTACCCACTTCAGAAATGCACTCAAAAGGGTTTGTTTCTGAAAAAAAAAAAAAGAATATCATAAATTGAAAGAATACCAGGAAAATGCTTGCTGGAYTGGCCAAGTCACCAGCTCTCAGGAAAAGAATTGTGAGTTGCTTGTGAGATCTGATGAGACAGCATCTGCTGCATCTGGTCTGTAAATAGATAACTGAACATTGAAAATGTCAGACAACAGTCATTTCTGCAGAAGCTGGTGTAGTTTTTTAGTGAAGGACTGTCCCCATGTACTGCAGATCCAACAGGATCCCAGCTCAGGGAGGTGAGATCTTGCTTCAGAGTCAAAAGCGATCAATTAAATATCAGAAATGCCAAGCACACATGATACGTTCAGATGAGTCCCAAAAGGACATAGCAACTTCAAAGCTCTCTGAACATAAGATAAGGCAAAAGAAATATACACCAAGAAAGAGCAGTCCAAGTAAGCAAAACTTGATTGGAACTGACTGAAAACCAGTGCGGAGTCTTGCATTCTGGTACCTAGACATAGAGTGACAACTGTCATACATAGTTCCTTAAAACCATAGATGCAGAAGAAGCCTGACTTCTGACCCAGCCCTGCAGATGCCCTGTACTCAATGACAGTGTTTTACCTCAATGAACTTTTGTATCCTGCAGATATCTGGCAAAAGCCTTAGAACGTGTTAGTCACCTCTGTGCTGGATTCCGTGACACTGTATCAGCTTGTGCCATCGGTGTTTCAGCTTATCATTTGGCTTGTAATTAGTATCGTTCATTGCTATGTTTCCCAGGTTACGTGTGTCTCTAAGGCAGCTTGTGTCCTTAGTCCTCCCACATAGCATTTAAATACCATAGCATTTAAAGATATAGAGAGGAAAGTAGGAATACGGACTTGTTTGTGAGAAGCAGGCACTATAGAACTTGGTATGTTCTTATACCCACATAGTTGCTATGTTATCTACTGGACTTCACATGTGTCTGTATCTTTTGTAGAAGAAAAGTGTATCTCAGAGCAGAAAGATCAGTTGCTTACTTGATCATACAATGAATTATTAATTTGTATGATTTGTTTGATAGCTTTTCATTTTCTCAGCTAATCGCTTCTGAGTTTGGATACAGATATTGAAAACAAAGTTTMATACTGTTTTCAATCTCACAACTAATAAGTGTTTGTAATTTTCACTCTGCCTCTGTAAACTGGARTATGAATTCTGCAGTATAACTTTTTAAAGACCAGCTGTCATTTCCTTTGTTACTTAATCCAAATAATTTGCTTCTGCAGAAATGTGAGGATGCTTTCTGTACAGCCCAGAGCTGAATAAGCCCTTTGAAAGAAGGAAGATGATCATCAAACACAGCATCCTCTTATAATTTTTATGTCCACTATAGAGACTGATTGATGTAGTATTAATCATGCTGTCAGAGTAGAAAGCATATATTGCCATGCATGGGGATAAGTGTTTTGGGCAACATTTTTCTTTTCCTACTTTCAAGCAAGATCTGAGCATGGGAAGGGAATGTGGGTTTGAGTCAGATTGACCTTTCTCTTGTGCAGCCAAGAGGAGAGAGGAGGATTCTTCCTGTATTTCCTTGGTTGGGAGCCCCATGATAACCTAAATTTCATTCATACTTGAATGGAAAGTTGAAGCTGGGATGGAATAAATATTTTTTCCCATATGAAAACTGCTTCAACAATAGTCTACTGTCTGGAGTGCTGAGGAATTTAATTTTACAATAGTTATAGGTGCTTTGCAAGTGTTAGAAATGCATCTGGAGGTTCATTTATTCAGGCAGACTCCTGCAAGCAACTTAGACTCAACTTTAGGATATAAGTGGGGTTTAAGTTAAGACAAATGTAAAATCATTGCCAAAATTGGCTATGCATATGAGCTCAGTATGGCTTTTTGAAGTGTTAGGCTAGAAGTATCTGTCAGATTAAATATTAAATTTATGGACATAAATAATGTGATTCTTTCAGACAGATGCTTTGACTAGTTATTTTTAGTTTACATCTGTATGGTCGTCATGATAGAAATGCTTACCTAATAATTTAGCATTTTATTTTGTAATTGTTAGGTTTTCCTCTTGCACATTGCCCACTGCAATACTTGTTACTGCAAAGAGAAAAGCTGATAATATTGCATAGGCATTTCTTTCTTTTCTTTCCTTGTATATTTGTGTTATAATCAAGCTCGCTATCAATATTTATCTGTTATATGAAAGGACCGTTTACATAGATGGTCTACAGGTCAGTTTGCAGTCTGCAGGTGCACAGTTCATTCTGCCTGTGCTCCAATCCAAGCCAGACCCCTCTGGAGAGCAGAAGCTGCCTGGGTCACGGCTGGCCCTGATCTGTGTAATCATGCTGAGCTGCCCTGTGGCTCTGAAAGGCACCAACGCAGCTCCTTGGCTTTGGGGATCAAATCCAAGCACAGGGAGTACAGGCATTTTGAGCTGATTTTTGTGTCTGTTTGGTGTCACCTGAGAGAGCCTGAGTTTAAAACAAACCAAGAATCAGACCTTTTTCTTCATTTGTTGAAAGAGATTTCAAGAATATCATTGCCAGCCCAGAATATCATTACCTTGTGTTCTTTAGTCACTGTTACACAGAAAGTCACTGACTGTTTACCTCTTAAAAATGTTTATTTTATACTCTAACATAAATTCCTGCTCCTTTCTTTTAAACAGGGCCACCAGAGAGATGCTGCAGAAATCAGCAAACACAAACTCTTTACTAGAGCGATCCTCRCCTCTCCCACACCGTGTGCCATTCACACGGTGTGGAGAGAGTAGCAAGGGATCCAATTCTTCCAGCAACCTGCCATCACCTACCAGCTCCACCGAACCTTCTTCTGAAAATTTAAGTCCAGCTAAAAAAGGGGCAAAGGTAGAAAATAAAAGCTACCTTATTCCCATGGTGTTGACTGGCATAATTGGCTTAATGTTTCTGGAGAAAGAAAAGGCCAATATGTTAATACTGCAATAAACAGCGCATGGTGTTCATTGTGCAGCAAATGCTCATCTGAACAGCACATCTTTATCACTCCACCATTCCACATCCTGCCTTTATACTCTGTCTTTCTCGTAATGTACCCTAATTCAGTGAAGTAGCTGTGGTGTGTTGTAGTGTACCAAAAGCAAGTGGTGCCAGTGGAAATTAGCATTTGGATGCACACAACAAATGCTAGATTTGTGGATTCAGTTGGAGATATTTTTCTGCATCCTCCTGGACTGCATACCTACCCGTGTTTATTGTATAAAGGAGATGCTTGCAAGTCAAGAAATGTTGTATGCTGTCAGTCATTTGCCTTTTTCTCCCCCAGTAATGAAATCTGCCAGTTTTGCATGCGACATGTTGGACTTAATTCCATATGTGAAGATCCTTGAACTAAAAATAGGAATTATTACAATTGAATATTTSTGTGTGATTCCCTCCTTTGTGCATGAATGTTCCAGCATGTAACTCATTAAATAACCCTTTGATATAATAATATGCKTAGCTTTTTACATGTTTATTTTCACTTCTGTAAAATATTTATCTGCCTGTATCCTCTTACAATTTCTAGCAATTTACATTTTATATTACTGTAGGAAAGAAACAACAGAAATGGTTCTGTTCCTTATACTCACCAATTTSAGTCATAATCAGAAATTTTCTCTCTCCTTCTATATGCATATAATATATAGCATAACAGCAGTTTTATATATGTATATATATGCAAAYACASAAATATTACCATAATAGCCTTTTTCTCAGTCATTTCTTATGCTTTTGGTGCCATAAGCTCTAAGCATCTTATTTCTGTAGTGCACCAGTGAGCTGTACAAGATTGTGGTTGTGGTATGAGGAAAAAATGCTACGTGTTATGTACTAGGAAGAGCAACACAAAGTTGACCAGTCTAAATCAACCCTCTTACAGTTATTACTAGGTTGATAAGGTGTTTTGTTGTTCTTTGTTCTTTTCCTTCATTATTATTTTTAGCATGCCTTGGCTATCTCATTTTTCTTTTTCCACAGAAATTTTAGATTCAAGACTGATGCTTTACATAAGATGAAAGAAAAGTAGGAATATTTAAAAAAAGAAAAGGAGATTCACACCTGCAGGAAGTCGAACTGTAAAGCTCTTTGCTTACAAATCCTGTGGAGGCTGAATTTTACTTATAAGAAAAGCTGCTCAGGTGTCCTAGTCCTCTCCAAAGAAACAGGAAAAGCAGAACAATAATTCTGAAAGTAGATGTGAGAAAACTGAGCACAAGAGCTTTTTGATGTTCTCTGTAAAGGCTGTAAGCTCTTAAGCTAGCAGTATCTATACTGTGATTTAGGTTTTTAAAGCACAATGTGATGCCACTTTTCAGTGGGATTTCCAGAAAAACAAAGGAAATCAAGTCTTGGTGTTCTTCCTGTTTTCAGAAGAGAGCTTAAATATCTCTTGGAGGATAAAATGATAAAAAGAGCATTAAAAAAAAAAATCCTTTTGGTTTTGAATGGTATGGTGTTCGGATCCATTTTTAAAAAATTGAATATCAGAAGTGAATTGAATTTGCTGTTCAATTAGRTGCCAGATTAAAATAGGCACCAAGGGTCTCAGTAGAGAGTAGAGTTGTCAATATTAACTGTATTTTCCATTTAAATGGAATATTATGGTGTTCTTTTTTATTACTGTTCTCAGATCAGACTGTTGCACTCTGGTGGAAAATACTTGTTAATTTTTGTATTTTTCTGACTGTGATTTCACTTTATTCCTAGAAAAAAATGTGCATGCTTTTGAAATTCTTTGCTATGAAGTGTGATGTTTGTCATTACTTGCATAAGACAAAGTAGTGTTTGTTTTATGGTTTTTGTATCAGTAAATAATATTTGACATCACAAGACCTCTTTTACTTCCAATTCTTTTTTTTTTTCTAAGGATATAGATAAGCAGAGAAGGTCCTTTCATTTTTCTAGGAGATTATTTGGGACTCAGAAAATGGATTCACAGGATGTTCTCCTTGTTCTTTTAGTAGCAGCTTTAACTTCTCCCTGATGATTAATCTTCTGTCCTAGTCTTTGTGCTACTGTGTGTGTCTGTGYTTGACCTAAGTATGTGAAGAACAGCAAAAGCCTATTGATTAACCAGCAGAAGCAATAACTTAGCACCATGATGATAGCTAACATCTATAAGGGAAGTCTGGAAATTGTTTATAAAAAAATGTCTACTTGCTGAGACATTATGTTAAAAAAAGATGTGTCATAAAATAGGTARTGGTAAAAATATTTCATATAGAGGTAAAAATGTTGCAGATTCTGTAAATCATTAACAACACTRAAGATTGGGCTTCATCTCTTTTCTAAATGATTGAAAGCACTCCTCAACTGTGCCCACCTGGAGAACAAAAGGCAATTTTTCCATTTAGATGCACATCTGGGWTGATTTGTTTGTTCTAACTCCTCTTTTTCTCTGCAGAATTTCACATTCAATGATGACTTCAGTCCTAGCAGCACAAGTTCAGCAGATTTGAGTGGTTTAGGAGCAGAACCCAAACCCCCAGGTTTCTCGCACTCCTTAGCACTGTCATCAGATGAGGTATGCTGATAAAATTGTTTAAGGTGGGAAATAGTTCTCTTTCTCTTGTGCCATTTTTTTTTTTTAATAATTTCTCAAGTAATAAAAGGAGGGGAGACTGTTCAGGCAATACAATGGGAGAAGAACCTGTAGTGGGAGACTATAGTGTTTCTTCGTGTAATAAATTGAAATAAATGTATTATCATAGCAAAGCAAAATGCTTTTTGTCTGCTGCAAGGTGCAAACCACATGTCCTCACACATTTCGAAACACACTTCCTGCTTTTTAAATATGTACTTGTGAWCCTGTATATTTCTGCACTAAAAGAGCATAACTGAGATGATTTTGAGATAATAAAAATACAATATAGTTGGCTAAATATTGTTGAAATGCAAGACGCTTTCACATAAACTTATTTTTGCTCTGGTATATTAAAATGATTATAACCTGGGCCTGGGTCTGATTTTTTGTATATTACCACACCTGAAAATATATATAGTGATTGGAATATTTATGTGTTAATCCATTTTCCATTCTCTTTGAGCTTGCTTTGCTTATTCAGACACAGGGGTCTGAAATTAAGCTCTTTGAAACATGATTTTTATTTGAGCAGTGGTTACAGTAGCAAAAGGCTTCACAATTCTATAAATGGGTGGCAGAATTGAATTGTAATTCAGTTATATATTGAATTATATATATTATATTTTGAAAATATAATTCTAAAATATTAGTTTTGTAGMTGAACTGTCAGTGAAGCCACTCAGTTTGACAAACAGCTGATAGTGTGTAGTGTGTCCCATTGACTCAGGAAACTTGTGTCTTTGCTTTCCTGCAAGCCCTGAATATTTTTCAGAAGAGTCTTTTTCACTTGCAGTTTGAGTGAGCTTTCTTTTTTTCTACACAGGAAGAACTTGAAATACCTTTCTTTTCTTTTCTTTCTTTTTTCTTTTTTTTTTTCTGCTAACATTTAGGTTTGTTGCTGTTGCTCTCTCTTTTCCTTTCTTTTCTTTTCTTTCTTTTTTCTTTTTTTTTTTCTGCTAACATTTAGGTTTGTTGCTGTTGCTCTCTGCATGTTTTGTATAGGTTTAAATAAGACAGCTGTTCTGTGCAGCTCTTTACGTTAAAATGCAAGTCTRCAAGGCCAATAGAGATTATTCACTGCAGGTAATAACAGACAGACATTTACAAAAAACACAGTACAGCAGGAGACAGGAGTCTGTATATTATTTGAATTATTTTTAAGAAGTGCTGATTTATTTAGTATTAATATCTTGACAACCTATTTCAATCTCTTCTCATTTTTCATTCCCATTGTATTATGTACTTTACTGTAGCAATGCCCCATTTCTAGTGGCATTGAATTTGAAGTTTGGAAATACTTCCATCTTGTTTGTTCAACCATCTACTTTTTAAGTTCTAAAATACCAAGTCGGAACAGCTCTACCAAAGTAAATGTGTTTTCTCTGTCTTCTGCAGCCTCTGATTGAGGCAGCTTGTCCATAAGAGCTGCATGTGGAAATCCAAAAGCTGCCCGTGCAAGGGGGGCAGTTGAAGTAGGCTGCTCTTTCACACTGATATTGTAGTGCTGCAAGCGCTGCTCCTTCCTTCCCACTTCTTGGCAAATCTGACATAATTGAAGGACACAAAAGAACGACCAGGAGAGGGTGGGGAGGGAGCCCAGAGCTTGGGCTTCGCACTCCTCTAATTGAGGGAGCTTTGCACTTGCCTTTGGAGCCATCTGCAAAATTCCCATTGATTCCAGCCTGTCAAGACCAGGAAATCCAGGGGTTTTCCTTGGCACAATCTCAGGCTTAGCTGCCAAATCATGTGTGTGTTGAGCTTTCAACATAACCTCTCTGCTTCTGGAAATGATTTTTTTTTTTTTTAATAAATCTCTTTGTTTTTAAGTAGTCCTATCCATTTGCAAATCTTGGTGCTGCCCTTGCCTGAACTCTGACATGCTGTTACATGTTCTGTATTTTGTTTCTATAATGCTTTTCTTTTCCATTTCTTTGTTGCTCCCTCACTCAGAGCCTGGATATGATTGATGATGAGGTGAGATACCAGTGAGCTGTTTGTGGTGACTTGTGCGACCATGGCGTGCCGAGGCGTGTCTCATTTGCAGATCCGCGTTTCTTGTTCTGCCCTGCTGCGTGGCACATCCCCCCGGTTAAGCACAACGTGCAGGGGTCACCGGCTCCCCTCGCCCTGCCTGTAGCTCTCCTTTCCTTTCTGCCAAGAGCTCGCGAGGCCAGAGCAAATGGCATTTTCGGGGCCATATTGGAAGGCGAGAGGGGCCCGTTTCAGCCCAAATCCCCAAGGCCAAGCGTCCGCTGGACGGGGCTCGTGCTGCCTTTGAGGGAAGGCGAASGGAGCCGCGAGGGCCTTTCCCCATCCCTGAGGGAAGCAGCTGCTGCTGCCGACGCCGCTGCCCGGGGCTGAACGCAGGAGCTGGGGTTCGGGCCCCGCTGGCACCCCCTGTGTGCAGGGAGGAATCAGCGTGGAGGGCCCCGGCGCCGCCTCTGCGGCCCCTGAGCCCCGCAGCCCTCCTGGTGCTGCTGCTCCGCGGGTCTCTCGGCAGCAAAATGTGCTCAGAACAGGGCCCAGGCTGGCGACGGGCGGCCTCTGTGTTTTCTTGACCGTTTCTCTGTGTTGTCTCAGTCTTCCACAGATACTACCAGTCTCACTGGCTGTTTTATGTCATAACTTGGAACTTTAGCATGGTGTTCTGAAGGCATTTTTTTTTTCTTCCTGAATTTTCTGTCTTAATAGTTTAAACACACCATAGAGATTTGCGAATGCACCTGAGAAGTGCGTGCAGAATTCCTTGCATCCTTTAGAAATGTTTGAATTTGAAGGATTAAATTCTCAAGAGCTAACTAGAGCATACCTGTATTGAATTGTGCCACCCAGCCATTTCAGTCTCTGTTTGCATTAAAAAGAATGACAGTTCCCTTTTCTTCTGTTTATAAATGGATAAATATATATATATATATATATATAAAATGTTTATAAATTGTACACTGCCTAGGTACCTTGTACCAACTCTTTGATAAATTGGATGGATACAGAGGTGATACAATAGTGCAAAATAGTTAATATAGCAGTATCAAGATAATACAGATACCTCTGCTTTGATGCTGATGGTTTGTTGAGAAGAATGCTATGACTAGTCCGTGTTATCCTTTAATAATAATGCAGTGTCTTTTTGTCACAGATCCTCGATGATGGACAGTCTCCTAAACACAGTCAGTATCAGAATCGTGCTGTGCAGGAGTGGAGCGTGCAGCAGGTTTCCCACTGGTTAATGAGCCTCAACCTTGAGCAGTATGTTTCTGAATTCAGTGCCCAGAACATTAATGGGGAGCATCTCCTTCAACTGGATGGGAGTAAGCTCAAGGTAATTGACTGTCTGGACTTTGAGACTAACTGTATTGTTTATTTTCACTTGAGATCTTGAAGTAAGAATTCTGCAGGAAAATAGAGAATTCCTGTGCATAGAATGATAACAGACTGGACTAATAAACACAAAGTAGATGACTGATTGTCACAACATCACTTTGCAAAAATTCCCATGTGCATTTAGATTCAGAAGTCCAGAAGCAGAGGATGTTTGCTTTGTGAAAACTATGGGTGTATAGAGTGTATCCACATTTCCATGCATTACTCATATAGCAGCATGTACAAGTGGAGTTTGCATGCACATCTCATCCAGCTGTGTTTCACAAAAGARCATTTCACAGAATATAGTAAATAGAAATACATTAGAAGCAGCTACTGAAGATTGGATTACTATGATASTAACAGCTTAGGTTGGACAGCAGTTGTGCTGTGTTAGAACTAGATACAGTTTCGATATATGAAGTGTGTTCTATTTATGGCAGTGGGAATATTTCTCAAAAAACAATTTCAGATAGGAGTTGTGAGCTGTGTAGCTTATCTGAAAGTCAAAATCCTGCTGTTTCAAGTTGGGAGCCCTTCCATTATGAAATTTTGTGCTTACCATTTCATTCACACTAGGATTTTTGCAAGAATAAAAATATTTTTGACTACAGGGCACCAKTGGGAATTGGGAAGTCTTATTCTGCATAGACGTAGAAGACTTCAGGCAATTTGTTTATCTTGCTATGCCACATTGGATAAATGAAACCAATACAGCCAAATTTGGTTTGCAATGAAACTATTTCTTTCATGTTCTAGAAATGGAACGTATGGAAATTACTACAAGAATATAAAATAATGTTGCTTATGCTTCAGTAATGTATCTGCATGTATCTCAGATTTGCTTAGTTGTATTAGTCTTCTACTTACAAAGAGTTACTGCTAGAATAAGAATAAATGATGATAGATGAAAGCGTATGAATTACTACTACTATTTTTTTCATTTGTTTTTCTCTGTCTCAGGCTCTTGGTGTGGCATCTTCCCAGGACCGAGCAGTCATTAAAAAGAAGTTAAAGGAAATGAAAACATCCCTGGAGAAAGCTCGCAAAGCTCAAGAGAAAATGGAAAAGCAAAGGGAAAAGCTTAGGAAGAAGGAACAAGAGCAGCTGCAGAGGAAATCAAAGAGAACAGACAAGTCTCCATCAGATGCGACAGAGGGCACTACCGAGCAGTGACAAGCAGGACTGCTGTGCTCCTAACGTGGAGGCACGTCAAGGGAAGAGAAACTCTCACCCAAGCAGGTGCCCTCCAGCCTTCTTGTATTCACTACACAAGAGTATTGTACACAGAAACGGGGCTATAGATAGAATGAGTAGGGAAATTTATGTTGTGTAGTTTTATTTTCCTACATATTCGGTTCACACTCGTTGTTGCCATGCTAAACAAGCCCAGACCCTCAGTTGGTTTTGTTGTTGTTGATGGCTAACAGATTTCATACTTGTGCGGCGCTGCTTCCTTCCAAACTACTCTCCTCTATTGAGCTCTCTCTGTGTGTTGGGTCACTTGAGAAGCCAGCGAGATGCTGAGGAGCGCGTCCTGCTGCACGTGTGCCGAGCAGGGTGGCCGGACAGAACGACTGGGAAATTTCGTTCAGCTGAGTAGAAGGAGCTGTTCTCCCTCCAGTAGAGCTGACTTAACTTTCTGACTGGAATTTTGACTTCTTTGCAGTGTTTTGATACTCGGTTCTGTCTGCTGGAGTTTCGTCTTGCATCAGTACCTTGAAGTGACACTGCTCTGGAAATGGAACTACTCAGAGACTTCTTATTATACACTGGAGATAAAGACAAGAGAGTCAGTGTTGCCCCTGGGTAAAAGACAGGACATGAACCTCTTTCTGTTAACTGTACAGTAGTTTAATCCAGGAAGGAGGCAAAGCCTTAAATGATTATGTGGGTTTACACAGAAATCTGAGGATAACATTTATCCTTTAGGTATCTGAGCAAGGATGAATTTCTATCTAGAGCACGGCATATAGATCTGTATAAATTTCATTGTGCTCCCAGTGTGTGTAGGTAACTTTCTTATAGCACACTGCTTTCTTTTTCATGTGTTTTGAATGGAAACTGGATTTGTTTTGCTCTGTTTTTTTCAAGGAAAGCACCACATCTTCAGATTCGTTCTCCAGTAAGCACTGGGAGAACAAGCTTTGTGCTGTGCTGTTATCAAGTTGTCAGTGGAAACGTTTATCAAACTCGAGTCTGTTAAAGACTTCAGTTTTTAAAGAAGTGCACTTTAAGAAGAGGAAGAAGAGGGATTCTGGTTAAAATAAAAATTCAGTACATTGCTATTAAGATCAATGTTACCATGCAGGTGAAGGTTACTAAATCCAAAGCTGCCATATATTCAATGTTATGATTAATGTGTTTAGCCCCACAAAAAAAAAAAAAAAAAAGAAAAAAAAAGAAATTTTAGGCACAGGATGTAGAATGCTTGGATAATCTAACTGGTGCTGTGTTACATGCTTGAGAGATTTCTGTTTTTCTGCTGTATATGAGGCCACTGACAAAGCTGGTGTGTAGGCTTTGCCTATGACAGAAGCAAACAGTATATCTTGCACTATATGAAGATCAATAGTATCAAGAAGAGTATTCAAAGAATACTCTTAAACATATTCAGATATTCAGTATTTCTTCAAAAGAATGGAAGGACAGCRGGCAAGTATCCACAGTACAAATTCAAATGTTTTACTGTATTGCTTTATAGTCAAAGAAAACTCTGTTGCAGCATTTGTAGTTTGGGAACATCCCTTCCTGCATTCTGGAAGTTGCAGGCTCCATCCCCTCAGTCATGCTAACACGTACATTACTTAAGCTGTTGATGCAAAGTCAGAAACTTGAACTTAAAAAATTGACAGCCTAAAATGTGTTTGAAATATTGCATTATTTTAAAGCAAATCTTTGTTTCAGTTGAGCTTGGCTTCTGTTCTGCACTTTGACATTCGGATTTTTGTCTGTAAAGCTCTTGAGCTCAGAGATTTGAGGCAGTTGGGGTGCAATGTTTGTAGTTGAGTTTTGTAGTATGGAATGTTAGGTTTTCAGTTCAATCATAATAGTTTCTTGACATGTAAAATGATGTGTAAACTGATAGAGCCTAATACATTTAAAAGTAATACACAACCCAATTAATTACTTACTATTAGCTTTATTTTTCCTTCCACATCCAATTTCTACACGGTTCTGATATATACTTTATTCATATATAAAAACAATGAAGTTGTGGTAAAAGATACTTCCTAATATTTATGAAGACTTGTAATATTTTTTCTTGAGATAAAGAGACAAATGGCAAAAAAATATATATCTGTTAGTGAAAATTCCATATTGAAGTGAATCTTTCTGCACTCTTTGTAGGAGGAAAAATATACAAATTAGTAATAGGAGCTCTGTGAAACTAGTGTGCAGTTATTTTAGGAGCTTATAGATTTATATACAAGTAAGAAAATTATCTGGAAGAAACTGGAAATTTAATATTTTAAGTGCAAAGTTCCTATATGCATTCAGTGATGATTTTCTCTTTAAGTTATGTTTACATTAAGTGGCTGTATATAGTAATCTAAGGAAGTATCCCATTTTGTTTTTTTCATTTTCTTAGAAACTTGAGCAGATTGCTTGGCATTAGACACTGAGGAGTTTTTTTTCTTGCTGCTTAGAACAGTGCCTACTTAATCTCTTTATAAATCATGTTCTTACTCTGCAGAATAACTAATTTGACTAAGTTCTTCAAGTATTCCTTTTTTTATTGATAAGCAGTAATGTCACTTTGTTATTCTCCGTTTTAAAAAGAAAATCTGACTTAAAATGGCAACTTAGATTTAAAATAAAAACCTAAAATGTGTATGGATTAACACCCAAAAACAGAGCAAACCCAGCAATGTCAAGAGTTTCACTCTTGTTTTTGTGATAAAAAGAGATTTGTGGTTCCTTTTGTTAAATATAGCAACTCAGTTAGGGGACATATGGAAATGTCCATGGATTATGGTTTTAAGAGCAGTGTAGTTTAAGACATTTAAGACCTTAAAGGTTTTTAAGACATTTAAGACCTTAAGTTCCATAAGATTTTTAAAGTTGAGTTGCATTTTTTCCCCCTTGTATTCTGAAATGGCCTATACGAAACAGAATATATAGATGTCTCTCATCATTATGAATTTAAAATTTGCTGTACAAATGCTCAGTCAAACCAATGTGTGTTTCTGTATAAGAGGAAGAAACAAACACGCCACGCTAAATGACTGGAGAGGCTTTCGGCGCCCGTGCTGCAGTAACTGTAAGCTACTCGTTCATGTTTATTGGTGGAGCTAGAGCAGTTTTGACTGTGCTGGCTGGTGCAAGGGCCTGGAAGGCCCTGTGGAGGCAGCTCCGTGTTCCTGCTCCTCCGACGGTGCCTCCATGCCAGCCGTGGGCTCGGCCCTCCTGGCTGGATGTCCCTGTTGGCTTCTGCTGTTGCAGTTGGGAGGCGGTTCCGTTAATTGTCCTCCTGTGGGTGAGTTAGTGCCGTGTGTACATACGTTCATCCCGTTTCTGACAAGGTGAAGAGATAAGCTGCAGTGAAGAAAGAGGAGTTAATAGAAAATGGGACTTTGGAAAGATGGTGGTTACTTGAGCCCTAAAAAAATAGCTAGTATTTGCGATGAGCTTCTGAAGAGAGGGGTGGCTCCTTCCCCTGTCCCAGCCTGCCAAAGGTACCGTGACTCAGACATTACCCTGAGGTGCCTGCAGCCCTCTCACCCCAGCACTAAAGCTCCGGCTTCAGGGTGCCAGGCGAGTCGGGATGAGGAGCGAGGAGCCCGGCCTGTGCAGTGCTGAGCCCAGCCTGTGCAGTGCTGAGAGCTTGGAATGTGCGGTGCTGAGCCCGGCCTCTGTGGAGAGCCCAGCCTGTGCGATGCTGAGCCTGGCCTGTGTGGTACTGAGCCCAGCCTGTGCGGTGCTGAGCCCAGCCTGTGCAGTGCTGAGCCCGGCCTGTGCAGTGCTGAGAGCTTGGACTGGGCGGTGCTGAGCCCGGCCTCTGTGGAGAGCCCAGCCTGTGCGATGCTGAGCCTGGCCTGTGTGGTACAGAGAGTGCGACCTGTGTGGTACTGAGCCCAGCCTGCGCGGTGCTGAGCCCGGCCTGTGCAGTGCTGAGCCCGGCCTGTGCAAGAGCCCAGCCTGGGTGGTACCGAGCCCGGCCTATGCAGAGAGTCCAGCCTGTGGTGCTGAGCACATCAGCTTTGCCCAGGGAATGCGGCCTATGCAGTGCAAAGCCTGGCCTATGCAGTGCTCAGCACATCAGCTTTGCCCAGGGGTGCTGGCATCGTAGCCATCTGTCTCCAGTGGGAGTCATGGTAGGCCGAGCCTCTTGGAATAGACAAACAACTCATAGGAAAGTGCTGAACAGAGCTATCGTATCACAGTGCGATACTCCTGCATTTTTTTCTTTTTCTTTTCCCTTTTTTTTTCCCAAAGATACGTGTTTTGCCCTGACTGTAGCCTGCTGCAGGGATGCAACAAGAGCTGAGTTTTCACAGGAGCTGCCACACAGGAGTTCCTGTGCGGTAGCTCTCCTGCCCCCGACTCTCCCCGACGTGCTTGACCCCGAGCGACGCGGGGTCCTGCTGCTGCGGCCGCCGCAGAGCAGCCCCGGCCTCTGCAGCCCCTTCACCTGCAGCCTCCCGTGCTGGTGGGTGCAGGGGGCAATGGTGCATGCTGATCTTGGAGCAGGAGTTGGTTTCCTCTTAAAGTCAAGGCAAGAAACCCCACTTTGAGTAGCGCAGAATGCAGCGCTGCTGTAGGAAGGAGAAGGATGATCATTAACCGTGGATGGCCGAGAACTGGTCTGGTTACAGTGTGGAAATCAGAAGTTTTCACGTAGACAGTTGTCACTCTTTAAAACTCTGCAGTGCAGCCCATACTGTTTGTTACTGCCGGAGTTAAGGAAGGCTTGCAAGAATGAAAAGTTGTGTTTACTTCTTAGTAGTGCATTTACAGAGAGCGTGCATATTGTAGCACAAATGTTAAAATGTTTTTACATTTACTGCCCTGTCCAAGAGAAAGCTAAACCCCAAGTTACTTTTTCCAGGGGTGGCTTCTTCCCTGCGCTGTCACGGAGCTAAGGGATGGAGGGGCTGGGTCCCCTCAGCGGCGCTTCCCTCAGCCCGTGCTCCCCCTTGCATGAAAACCTCAGGAAACCTCAGCTGTGGTCCAAAACACTGATAAAAACAGGTGTTTGAGAAAACAGGCACATGTTGGATTAACTTATAAGTCTTTAACAGTTGAAACAGGCAAAGTGCACAAAGCAGTTTTTTGGTTTAGTTTTGTTGAAGGAGTGATTGGTTAATAAGGAAATAAATCAGTCTTTCTGGAAAGGAAAATGTTTAAGTGGTGGTGTTTGGAGCTTGATTCTTCTTTAAATGAATGCGTATGGCTTTGTGTGTGTACATGCCGATGCACACACATACATTGTCCTACAGGTTTGCACTGCGTTGCCGTTAGTAGCAGTGAGCRTGTCGGTAACGGTGAGTTGTGGAGCTGTAGGCACCTGATCCACGTCACCCATCCCGGGGCGCGGATCSACGCGGGATCTCGGCAGAGCTCCGAGCTCTGCCCGGTGCACGCTCCCTTCGCCGGGCTCGCCGCCTTGCCCGCTGCTTGCTTGGGATGTGTTACGTGTTTGGCTGATCAGAGGATTTTAACGTTTGGCCAAAACCCTAGACAGAATTGTCTTCTGTGTGTCTTTCTGCATGTTTGTCCTCTGTTTTTCTGGCAGGATTGATTTACCAGCGTGTTAGTGTTTTAGGAAAAAGCAATGTTTGTATGTTTTGTAATCCCAGTTTTGACTTCCTTTGGAGTGTTTTAAGCAGCTCATTGCCAAGCAGGATTGTCAGTGGTGTCGGGAGTGACCTACCCAGTGGTCACAGGTGACCRTAGGTCATTTGCAAGTTGCACAGTCCTTGTGGTTAACCCCCTGTATGTATTTTATTCTGTTCGTTTTCCACCTGTGAAACGTGTGATTTTTCAAAGCTGTGCCACCACAGCTGTCACACTGAGCCCTCCAATCCCTCCTCATAACCAGCAGTGGGACTGGTGCTTCTGCTGGAGGCGCTTGGCCATGACTCAAGCTGTGCCCCCCTGGAAGGTTTGGCCTTAGTGCCGGGTGCTGCCTCTTTATCTGCAAGCTTGGATGCTTGGGAACTGATCGTTTGGTTTAGTAAAATGGAAGTTTGAGTTGGGAAGGGGCTTTCTGCAGCCTGGGGACATGAGGTGATAGATGAGATAGATAGTCCAAAGCAACAGGGAGCACAGGGCACCAACCACAAGGCAWGAACAGGACATTTGGAAATGGGGAATGCACCGTGAACCTCCCTTCTATCCATGTGTCCCTTCCCTTACACATCTGCTGTCTTGCCTACAGCATCTGTATTTGCCAGTCCTGGTGCAGTGGTAACTCGCTGGTAGCTGAGGAGTCTGTCACATACTGCTAGAAGATCAGGCAGCTACAAGACTTAAATGCACTGTGCTCTCTGTAAAAATTGGCTTCTTATCTTTTTATATGGTAGGAGGAGGTCGTTGCGCTTCGTTTTTCTTCTTTCTCTTTTTTTTTTAAGAGGTCAAATGTAAATGAAGTGCATGTTATTCTGGAGTTTTTGTTTGTACATCTTGCTGTCTAATCATCTGCATGGAAGACCCAGTAGTGCCATGTCTGAGCTTGTTCTCTTGTGCTTGGTTAATATGAACTTMTCTAGGTTGTTGAGTTTTCCCCCAAAAACCCAACATTCTTTAATATTTAGTTATTTGGAGGCATCAAAATAAAAACATGGTGGCCCTTTGTTTTCTTACGGTTTAAATACAAACAAGAAAAGCCTTGTGGTTTAAAATTAATTTGTTAGTGTAAATAAATTTCTTGCCAATGAGTATTATTGTTGTTAGACAACGAATGCAATAAAATGAGAAATCCTGAATCTTTATTAGAATTTGCATCGAGTCCTCACTGTCCTCCTCGCTTGCTGGTCGCCGCAGAGGGGATGCTGAGTTGCAAGCAGGGCTGGAGAGCTGCTCCTGCACGTGCCAGAGCCTTGGCCATCCGTTCCTTCCTTCCTTCTGCTTTGAATCCCAACTCTTAGGGAAAATTGTGTGATACATATAGCTCAGGTTGAAGCCCATTAACAGTCTATGATTACATAGAAAGAAACGAGAAAAACACCAAGGAAGGAGAATGGCCATTTTCATAATGAAGGATAAAATGTAACTTGCAGTGGTTTTTTACGGCCATGTAAAAATAGGCTACCTCCACATTGCTGTTAGTCCATTTTTTATGAGGTTTGAAGAGAGCTGCATAAGTTTTGTTATGTGGAATGTTTTATTATTTTATACACAAGTGTAGATTAGTTTTAATTGCGATGGCCATTTCCCAGATTCAAACTCCAGCAGACCTCCAGCTGAACACATTTAATATATCATTAGTTTTATTTTTGCACTTGAGCAAATCTTGAAATTACGAAGCAGCAAAAGGCCCRGACTCCAGTTTGCCTTGTTCTATCCGTGGATTTACATGTGGCAAAATCTAGGCCAAATCCTCTGCCCTTAGGCTGGATGGGGAGCATCCCGAGCCCAGGCTCCAGCTGCGKCACGGATGTTAGGATACTGGCATCGCCTGCGAGAAGGTGGAAGGAAGGACCCGCCACCTCCACCCACAACAAGATAAGTTCATAACGGAGCCCAAAATAAGGCCCGGCTCTTCCTGAGCGCGCTAGGCCTTGCTGCTCTGAGGCCTGGCTCTTCCGAGCGCGCTAGGCCTTGCTGCTCTGAGGCCTGGCTCTTCCTGAGCGCGCTAGGCCTTGCTGCTCTGAGGCCTGGCTCTTCCGAGCGCGCTAGGCCTTGATGCTCTGAGGCCTGGCTCTTCCGAGCGCGCTAGGCCTTGCTGCTCTGAGGCCTGGCTCTTCCGAGCGCGCTAGGCCTTGCTGCTCGTGGTCGTTGCCGCAGGCCGCAGGCCGTTGCCGCTTTGGTGCCGGAGGCCGGACCTGAGGTGCAGCTTCCCCCCCTGCCGCTCCGGCGCCTCCCGTGCCTGGTCGGGCAGCGGGACGTGGGAGAACTGGGATGACGGAGCGGCCTCCGCGGCGGAGCGGGAGTTGCAACCATGGCTCCTGTCCGGCGCCCGCTCCCTTCCCGCCTTCTCCTGGAGGCCACGGCTCYGCGCGAGGCCTCCCGGCCTCCTCCGCCAGCGGGAGGGGATTTAGCTCCGCCGGCCTGGCCTCCCCTTCCGGAAGAACTACGGCCAGCCAACATACAAGCAGCCCACAGGGAACGCTTCCATTAATGCTTTTAAAATAGTACTTTTTAAAAAAAAAAAAAAAAAAGCAAAGTCAGTAACAAGTAATCACATTCTTTATTTTCTGAATGGCCAGAAACAATTAAAAAAGTGGGAAAATCTTGATAAAACCCAACATCATCTAGATTTACCCATCTGAAGAGGTTTTGGTTACAGGAAATCATAAAATTAATTTTCCATCCATTGCTTTTAGCAGTGGTGAGGCAAACACTGATAATAGCCTTCCACAACCGCAAAGTAAACCAGTCAGTGCTTTAGCTGTCTCACTAGCCCTGCTTTAAAACGTTACCTCTCCAGAGCATGATGCTTTATTTAAGAACAAGTCATGTCAAAGCCTAAAATAACTCTCGAGAAATGCGTCCCCATGAGCTTTATAGCTGATCACAAGTAAATCAATCCCACAACCTGCCTCTATCCGGAGAACTTCCTTCAGAACCACATTGACCTGTTTATCGGCTGCTGGAGCTCTGAGGATGGTAAGTGTTCCTCGGGACTGCAAATGGGCTGCAGCTTCCTCCAGGAAAGCTTGCGGCTTCGCAGGGAAGTTGGAGAAAGTGCTGGAGGGAGGGAAGTGGCCAGGGAAGAAGAGACAAAGCCGGAGTTGCTGCAGGCTGCATTCCTGAGGCCCTGCTAGYCTGGCTGGCCCGAAAGCCGGGTGAAGCAAAGGGCCGGGATGGAAGGCGGTTGTGTTGGTAGCCAGCTCTGCAGGGCCATGGGGAAGGCTGTGAGAGATGATCCCACACAGCAATCAGTAAAATGCTTGGACCTCTGAGCTGATCCCATCGCCTGAGCGTGCCGGGGCAGGGAGGAATCCGTGGGATGAGCTGGACAGAGCCCAGTTTATTGGCAGGAAGGGATGGTGACAGCGCTCCAGAAGCAGCCTTGGCCGGCAAGCTGGGTAGGTCTTCCCAGAGCGCACAAGCCGGCGCTGTGGGTGCCCCCCCGTGCACGCCGGGGCAGGGAAGCGCCGCTCTGTGCGCGGGAACAGCCCCGTTCCCTGGGAAAGGCGAACGCCGGCCCCGCGCAGAGCCAGGCGCTGCAGCCAAGCGCCCGCGAACGCCCCCCAGGCTGCAGCGCAGCGCGGGCCTCCCCACAGCCCCGGGCTTGTGTCCCACCCGTCAGGAAAAAGGCTTCTTTAGACTCCCTCTGGGAGAAGCATTAGGAAGCCATGCCCAAAACGGGATACCCTCTTTCCTTAGTAGAATTAATTCAAGTTTATGAAAATAAAGAGACAGCTACAGTGTTTTAAAACACTTAAATGTAAGCTAATTTGATGTCTTTAAAAGAGTAAATCAGTGGGGCTGAAATAACACTAATTCTCCTTCCACTGTTTCCTGAAGTGTTAGGGAAGCCTGGCAAGAAGGTTCAGCAAAAGGGCCCCAGCACAATCCCTAAGGAAAGTCCAAGGATCGGTGACAGGGCAAGTGCATCAGACATTAATTAGCAATTCTCATGTAAAAAATCAGTTTTCTCTAAGAAAAGAAGCGGAAATGCAATCACAACAGGTAAARTTCCAGGTCTGACAATTTCAGCTCTTCACAATCACAATTTGAATTTCAAGTTTATTCTTAAACTCCTTAATGACTTAGAGTCGTCCAGCTTACGGAGAGAAACGCTAATGACTCGCCTTAAATTCCAGTGTCTTTACTATTGCATAAAACTTTCCTTTCCCTYTTGCAGATGAAACCTAAAGCACTTGACCATGACTCTGGTTAACCTTTATTGCGAGCGTCCTGTAAGTAGCCGATTTAGCAGGAACTACGTGAGTTCTCCCGGGATGAAACCCTTGCCGCGGGCGCCGTCGCGCTGCCGGGCCGGGCTATAGCTGGCAGTGGAGCGCCTTGTGGAACACGGTGCCCACGAGCAGATGGCCCCTGTGGAGCGCCGCCRCCGAGCTGCCCTGCAGCACCGAGCCGTCGTTGGCGTAGACGCGCGTCACCGTCGGCCGCTCCGACAGGATGTCCTGGATCCGCAGCACCTGCAGCGGGGAGGGAGCCAGGGAAAGGCRCCTGCTGAGGCCGGGGGCCGTTTTAAAGGACTGCTGCAGCAGCTGATGCGTCCCACTAAGGGAGTCCTCCCAGCCTTAGGAATGGGCTTGGTTTTTTCCAGGCTAGGCGTTGCCTAGTTGTTACTTGTGTTCTTACGTTTTCCAGAGAGAGTAAACAATTGCCTGAGGTTAGAAATAATGCAGACTGCTGCTAAACATGATCATTTTGACAAGTGTCCTGTGGAAAGCTCACTACAACACTAAAACCAAGGAGACACCAACCAGGCACCTGCACGCTCAAGAGCTAGTGCTGCGCTGCAAGCACCTCCCCGGTCCCCAAGGAAAACAGAATTACAGYGTCAGCTACATCTGCGCTGCACTTGCACCACTCAGTCTTCACAATGAGACTCTTCTGGTCTTGCCTGGCACTCAGTGGGTGTTTTTGCTTTGCAGTGAGGTGCTGGCTCAGTAATTAGCACTGTGCATCAAAACCTGATTGTGCAGGCGCAGCTGCACAGAAAGCAGCCTCAGGAGCCCACAAGGACTGAAGAGCTAAATGGAAATTACGCCGTTATCGTCTCCAATGTACCTTTGTAGGAGGTTGTTAGCTGCATGTATATTACTCAGGTTTTCCATGCAAGACCAGAAGCTACAGGCTGAGTACCTGGGAGGTCTTTGCTCTCACCAAGGCTGCTCAGGCCCCACATGTTATGCCAGGATAAGCTGAACACAGCAAATTTCTGCCACAGGCAAATCCCAGAGACCAGTAACATCTCCCAGAACACACCTCAGAGGCGGCAGGATCTTCAGGATTGTAGTTGAGCAGCTTAAAACCATTGGGGTGGCATCCTGTCCAGATGTCTCCAGTGGAGGGGTCAACAGATAAGTTATCGGCTAGTGTGTCCAGCTGCAGCACCTACCCAACACGGAAGAAAACGAAAACAGAGAACAGAGAAGTTGAAGCCATCAGCAGCCCTGGAAGCTCCTTATAACACCCCAATTTTCAGTCATAATCAGTAGACTTATCCGAGTGGACATCTTCACAAAACCTTKAGTGAAGAACAGGTTCTCGTTATTCCCTCCACCAGGCCCGTGGCTCCTCTGCCTCCTCGCGGCCACGTCCCGCTCCAAGCTCTGCCCTGTGGGTGGCTTCAAGCCCGTTCAAGGGCGCCCCTTCCGTGGCCCRCTCCCACCCAAGGAGACTCCTCCTCCCGCGGGATCCCTGTGAGGCACTGGCGGGAGCTCTGTGACACCAGCGAGCGCAGGGGCACCTGCAGTGCCCACAAGGACTAAGGTGCCCCCTCGCAGGACCACAGCTCCTCACTGACCTTCACGTGGCTGAGGTTCCAGTCGGCGTGTTTCTCCATAACATGGATCGAAGAATCCATGATATCTGCAACATAGATGTACCTTCGAAAGAAAGCACCTCTTAGCAATGGCTGTGAGCGAGCAGGTGCCCAAAGCAGTCGGCTCCCCATGCACAAGCCCAGCTCTTCCCACGGGGAATCCCAGCGGAAACTCCAGGCAGGCCACAGGGTGACCTGAGGCCAACGTGCTGAGGCACTAATGCAGTTTCAGGCCGGGCCACCTCCTCCACTGCCACGCTCTGAAGCTGCCCTTGGACAACTAGGCACACAAATAGACTCTTTTGCTTTTTAAAMCCCCCCTAATAACCAGCTAATGCCCTCGTACAGCCTAAGACTGTGGAGCATTCCCCACTTTCAGGAGAAATGCTGTGCCAAACATATGCTGCAAGCAATATAAACAAACTGCCCCATCAGCTGGCTAACATGCAGCAGCCTTTGATATCACTCCATGTCAGAACACATAAAGCAGAGAACATTGCCTATATAGACAGAGAGACATTTAACTTACACTGCCTATATAGACAGAGAGRCATTTTACTTTTGGTCTACAAACACTTCATTTTGCCTCTATTTTACAGAGGAACCTCAATTCACAATTCAACCTCAATTCAAAATTCGACCAGAGAGGAACTAAATGCACAAATGAGGATTCTTTCAAGTGATCCCACCAAGTCAGAGGCAAGGAGAAACTTACTTTCCATCAGGTGAGATGTTAATTCCATTGGCTGAATAAAACCCATCTGCTACTACTTTAACTTCTTTTGGACTGTAGTAAATAACGTTTGTCCACGGCAAACCCAATAACCTCTCCAAGAATAGCAAGAGGAGGTCAGTGAAGTAGCGGTCATTGGTAGCATAGAAGCTGTCTGGTCCTACAGCTATTATATCATTCACACTAAAAAACAAAAAGAAAAAAGAGAGAGAGAAAAAAGAGAAAGGATGGAGAAAGAGAAATTAATTTAAAAAAAAGAATTAAATGACAGCTATGAAGAAGTTTCAGATGGGATACTGTTACTCAAAAAGTGCTGCAAAAACAGCTGGCATTTCAGATACACACCATGTTATTTAAACGATTTTTACTTCCATTTGCTTTATATGTGCCAGAGTTCAAGTGCTGAGACTTGAACACACCTCGGGACATTAATCAGTGATTTTGTTACCTGTTTACAAGCCCACAGAGACTTTGCTCTCTGTTACACTCAACTGTAAAGCAGAGAATTGCTAGAAGTTGTAGCAACTTAATTTTTCAAGCTCCCTTAGTATTGCAATCATTTTGCATCAATGAGACAAGAAAACAAACAAAAATAGTGAAAATGAACAAGTTTTCTACTATGTAGCAAATTCAGGATGGCAGAATGCCTGAAGATGCATATATACAGTGAACTACGACTGGGTTACAGGAGAAGATGAGGAGAAAAGGATGCCAAACTRAGATAATTCACTACCATCAATCAGCAGACGTTAATGGTCAGCAGAGGTTAGTGATGTTTCACGACTATTCATATTTCTCATTCACAAAAGAGAGGGTAAAAACACAGTACTTTATTACACAGATAAGAAGTAATTAATGAGAGAAATAGGAAAGCCATTTGAAAGAGAAAAGCTCTCTTATTAATATTACTCTACAGATTAAATTACTTTACTTCGGGTTTTATCAAAAGAAGCCTATTCTTAGAGGGGGGAAGGGTGTACTTGGAACCAATACGTTGGCAGAAGGTCATGTCGAATTGTTTTCAGATGTAAAAGTGAACGATCGTCTTCTGAAAATTTAAATACTTCTACTGTGCTCTTGTGATGTGGATGGCTCACAACAAAGAGGTACACAGAGTCATCTAAAACAGAAAAAGAAAATAGAAACAGCTGAATTTCACTCCCTTTCTCTGTAACTGCTTGAATCTCCAAGCATCCACARCTCTGATGCAGCCTCATTACAGAGAACATGTTGGTTTGGTGCATTTAGCTCATGGCTTTTCAGAGGCAGAAGGACAAAGCAGCCACTCCATACAGCAGGACCCCAGTGCAACCAGATCCACATCCCCAACCTTGGTTTGGCCTTTCTCCCTCCTGAGAATTGCCATGTAAACTAGATTGCCATGCAGACTATAGATTCTGCATCTATGATTTACATTTTAGCCAGAAAAATCCCCATTTTGGTCACTACTGGACTGTGGAGCACGTCTCTTGAATATCCTTAAGCTCCTATGTGAGAAAGAGGTGACTAAAACAAACTTGAGGTGGTTTCAACACTTSAAACATCTTCTGTGTTTTCTTTCAATATATAGAACACCTTCCCATCCGAAAACCTTCTTCCCTCCTACCAAGTCAGGCTCTTGGGAGTGCAATGCAAGCAGCAGAGGGATTCCTGCTTGYGCTCCCTAGGTTGAGATTTGATGCCACCTCCAATTAAAGCTCTCTTTACCTTGATCTATGTAAGTGCTGATCCCATGAGGGTTAAATGTCGCCACATCAAACCCAGGACTGATTCTCAGCTCAACTGCTCTTGGATTGTCTTCATTCAAATCCATCAAAAATATTTCACCTGGCTTGTCCGGTGCAAAGTTAGGCAATCCTGGATACTTCAACCCCTGTAAAATCAAAATAGACTATGATCATTCCAGCAGGAAAGGTGAGAGGAGCATAACAAGACTCAAAATGCTGAAGCCCTGTCTGGCCTTGCAATCACACATCAGGACCCCTCCAGCTTCAGCCTGTTGTGCCCCAAAGCAAGCAGAGCAGGGACAGGCTCTGCTCTCCCCCATGGTGCCCACATCACAGTTCATGTCCCCCCCATGGTTGGAAATTGGGGGAAAAGCTGGAAGCCCAGCACAGTTGAGCGCTCAACACAGAGACACAGTGAAGCCCCAGTGAACACCAGCAGTGCAGCAGCTGCCATTTGGGTCATGAACTTGGCAAAATTGCTGATGGCCCTAGAGCACATAAATGAAAATCACAGGTTTTGTTTTAGAGAGCAATTTCTAGCCTCTTGACTGCAAAGAAAAGCCTGAAAACATAAATCCTAACATGCTCCACCCCCCCCCCCCCAAAAAAAAGAGAACCCCACATGAACATTGAGCACACAATGTATTTTTTTTAGCATAGTAAATCTGCACTCATTTTTAACAAGGGAGATRTTTGGCATTTCAAGTGAGCTGCATGAGAGAAAATCAAGGTTATGCAAGGAGATGAGCAACTGCAGTGGGATACGCGTGTTAGAGCCACCACCACCACTTCTAAGGTGACAAATGCACTCGCTCAGAAAGCGGGAATYGCTGGCTGAGGGGGAATTAGTTGGCTAGGCCGGCTAATTCCTTGGGAATTCRGGCCTGGAATTGGCCCTATTCCTCAGCAGCCGCATGCATAGGGAGAGAGGCAACCACCTGGCAGGCTGCACCTCCTGCTCCTGCAGGGAACGGGCGAGTGCTGCCCTGGCAGCAGCGCAGACACTTACGGAGGTGATGAAGGCCAGTCCATTCGGGAGGATGTCGATGTCTTCCGACCCGGTCTCTGCAAGGACAGACAGAGAAACCCGGCTGCTTCAGAAGACGTTACGCTGAACAACCTCGTGTTGTGAGAGCATCCAGCTCTCACGCGGGCTCCTTTCTGCTAGGATGGCAGAAAACTGATGGCGGGCAGTGCGGAAAGCTGCGGGAACTTCCCATGGGAACTGCTGTGGCTGAGCCAGGACGTCTCCCCAAGGTGAAATATTGAAACATGGAATAGCCAAATCTTTAGTTAAAGCTCTCAAGTGGGAGCGAAACTACCATATCTTTAACAGCTAAGAGGTTTAATTAGCTAGGCACAGTTTTGACCGTGAGTAATCATTTCCAATTTTGCCAGTTACTGCAATATTTTTCCTTATAACAGGAAATAAAAAAAAAAAAGAAAAAAAGCCCTTTAAGCCCTTTATTAAGGATGCTACGTAATTTTAGACCAGGATCAAGGAGTCTCCACAGAGTCCAGKGCTCCAGTATGTTTCCAGCCTGCATTTTCACAGCTTCTCCAGAAGCCTCCCCGCATTCCCAAAAGGCAGCCAGGACTCCGGAGAAGCCGCTCTCCAGGAAGCGGCTCCATTCACCCACCTGGCAGCTTCTGCGGCAGGACAAGAACATTCTGCAGGTCACATCCAACCAGATAGCCGGCACAGAGCTCTTCCACCCAGAACCCAGATGTTTCAGCTCTGCTCATATCCCATTTTTAACAGAACRTTCCTACCTTGGTTTTCAGCCCCAGCTCCACTCCCGCTCTCGCCAAGCCCACCTGCCTCTAGAAAACGGGAGTAGCAGCAATTCCCCACATCCCAGGGCCCCTGCACGTGCAGAGGCTCAATTCCTTCAGCGACAGGAGCTCAKTCAGCCTGATCTTGCTGGGCCACCACGAGGGAGACCCCATAGGATGAGGGTTATAGACATGGAGCGCACAGAATGGCCCAGGCTCCTGCTAAGGGGAGCTGGCAGTTTATTTACTAGGTGTCTGCAMGTTACCTGCTCTTTATTATTTAATCGCACCACCTGGCCCAGCTTGCCCCCTGAGCTATCTGAATAGGTAGTTGAAAAACAAAACAAAAATTAGAAGTACCCCCAAAGCCACTTTTTTTCCCTGGAAAATTTATCTTTGATTGTTCTTCACTTCTATCATAGGATGAATTAGTCTGCAGAGGCACCTAGCAATAAAGAAACTGGATTTCAAGCCCCAAAGCGAGTGAATTTCATGTCGATACCCCATGCATTTTGCTAAGCTGCAAGGGTTTACAGCAATTTCTGTAGCAGCTTCTTGAACTTAGGGAATTACTTCAGGACATGTAGTTAATTTATTATAAACCGCTAACATGATTAGGGCACCATAAAATCCAGAAGATAGTGTTTATTCAACAAATGGGGAATTTTCTACATATTTGCGGATGAGGTTTAGGACAAACTGCATTTTTTTTTTATCAGTTTGTTCAATGTTTGCAGCTGTGCTTATATTGCACAATTTTTGAAAAGCAGAAGAGATCAAAGTCCTTAAAAAAGAGAAAGAGAGAGAGAGAGAAAGAAAGGAGGAAATCGTGCATAAAAGTAAGGGTCCACTAGAGGATTTTGCTATTTACTCTGGGTTTGCTTCCATTGCTACTGATGCTTTGCTTTTAACATAATTACAAACGGCTACACCAGATGCTGTATGTTTTTCTGTGCACAGAACGGGTAGTTTAAGATTATTCTGTACAGAGCTGATCCAGCTCATCACTTGTGTCCCACTTAAGAGACCAGCAGGATTACTTTAACCGCTAAAATAACAGCAGTGTTTATTCAGTTTTAACCTAGCATTTTTAAAGGAAAAGGGGACAGGAGGATTGTGACACACGGGTGGAAAGATGCCTTTCATAGCCACCTCACAGGTGTGAGCACAGCAAAGCCTCTGGTTTAACTTGCTTTCCTATGCAGCACCTATGCAGCAAGGCTCCCTAGGCTCCATTAGGGATATAACCTGTCCACAGTCAGATTAAAAGAATTTTGGAAGACTGCTAGGGAAGATGAAGACTTTTTAAGTTGCAATCATCCTTTGCTTTCCCTACTTCTGCTCCCGAAGAGCAGAAAATCATTTTGCTCTTTCCTTAACAGATAGCAGCCTGAACCCGAGACCAGGTGCCCGGCTCCATGCGCAGGGCCAGGCTCACGACAGCAAAGTGGGGAGCTGAAAGGAATCTTCATACACAGAGAAGCTGCAGCCCCTGAGCAAAGCAGCAGCCTCACGATTCACCTGATCTTCAYACAGATGTCAGGCACCAAAACTGAGAGATTGCTCAGCATTTTGGTTGGGAATTAAGCAGAGTTGTACCTGCTTTTTACCAGCTTTCCTTCTTTCCTCAACAGAACAAGCATTTTTGCCAACTCTTGTRAAGAATGAAATAGCGATGCTCTTGAAAGAATCACTCAAAAATGTTTTTACATGAATCACCATCAAACAGGCATTACGGAGAGCCTTGCATGAGTAACCCGTAGCTCAGCGTAGAAGATCTGGAGAGTCTCTTCAAGTGGGATTTCTAAAGCCTTATTCTGCACATAGCCCCAGGCAAAGGAATATTGTATACATTCATTCATTGCTGTAATTTGACTTCATAAAGATTTCTGGTTCCTGAAACAGGGAAGAGGCAGGATTTATGAAACTGGCACTGTGACTCAGCAAGGCTGTTCAATCTCAGAGGCAGGGCTGCTAAACCTCTTCTGAGGAGGGATTTTCTTTAACACATGCAAAATCCATGCAAATTTCAACAGAGTTCACACATTTCCAAAACACGAAAGAGGAAAGCACCTCAGTTTTTAAGCCTGTATTAAGCTTAAAAATTAAAATTTGCAGGGAGGAGAGACACATYGCCTGTTTAAAGCTATCAACACTCTACTCTGGTTATATGAAAGGGAGGGAAAAAAAAATCAGAAAAAAAAATGGTGTTAAATGTATGACCTAAAGTGCAAAGTCAACATTTCAGCCACTCTACTCCATCTCTTCACAAACTGGGCTGTGATCACAAATATGACCCCTCGGTCTTTGCAACCATAAAGACAAACTATGCAACTGCACTGAGCTCCTGTGCAGAGTGGTAGAAGCCCTCTCCTAAATCTCCCCAAAATGGGGTGTCAGGCGAGGCAAAAAAAAGCTATTTTTTAAGAATAACCATCCACCTACTGTTTCTCCCTACCTAAGACTCCATTTAACAAAACAGTTTTGAAAGCTAAATCAGCAATGTATTTTCTGTCTCAGAAGCTCGCTTCAACAACTGGGGGTAAGTTAAGCCTGGACTAAAGCAGTGGCCTCGGTCCTTCTGAGCACCTACCGATGCCCTTAATGAGCTGGCAGTTTGGGAGCTCTATGGGTTTCACTTCCCGCGACGCGTGCATTTTCGCCCTGCAAGAAAGAAGAGCAGAGTTAACCACACACACACACACACTTTGGAAACAAGTAACTCTCCCAGCATATCTTTATTTCGGCTATATTGCCATATTGCAACAACATATCAGCTGTAAAATATCACATTAGCAAACCCAGTACCGACAGAGGCAGCTGCTCCAAATCCCAGTGCAGCTACTGGCTTTCAGAGACGGATCCTTCTGTATGGAACAGCTTCATGAACTTCACTTTGTTCACGAGCTTTAGGAATATGTTTTCATGAACTCCTGTCACCCAATACTGCCACAACACAWGACAAAACGATGTCGTTTGCCACGCTTTTTCTTTAGGTCTCAGCTGCCTACATATAGTAGCACTCAGCAGTTAGGACCTATTTTTCAGATGAGGAGAGGGCAACCTTCTACTCCCTCCCACTGGCCATTTTTGATGGTTCCACTTCCTTCAATACTTATTCCATGTTTGGATTTAGCAAGAATATTGCTGCAAGGCAGGACTCCTCATTTCTAGTGATGAGCAGTACCTGGCRTGATGGTTTTCAGCAGTTACCTCTTTCCTTCAACTTTTCCCCAGCTCCCCACCCACAGCATCACCCTTCAGCTGTGACACCTTCATCAGGTGTGATGCCTGCAGATGCAAGTGGGTATCTACATATTAATTCCTATTTCTCCCTCCCTTCATTTAGGAGGCATCTACGTCGCTGTACGAAAGCCACTTGAGTTGTTGTGTTTGACTATGTAGTGCCCACACCATAAGCAAATACTTGAGCTTCCACATAAAAATGTCAAGAAGTGTGCCAGATTCTTAAAAAGGTTTAAAAAAAAAGAAGTATTTACTTTTTTGACTGCCTCCCATGCACACATTTTGAGGATGCGTTTGCTCAGAGGATAGGGAATTCCTGTAGTTAAGCCTAGCGAGATTTTGCTGCAGGATCTTTATGCCACAGCTTTGGGCAGCCTGCGGCACGAGAACTATGCAGTTCGGCTGAGCACTGTTAGGGTATTTCAGCCCTGCATTCTTTTAATTGCCTTATTTATAAATTCTCAGTTGATTCAGCACTGTAGCAATGCCACAGAGAAGGCACCAGAGCTCTTAATATAAGGAAAAGAAAACAAAAGCAGCAAAAGAGGTGGGAAAGGAGGGGAGTTGAGCTGCCCGGGCAGGCTGTGGCCGGGCACGCAGCCGGGAAGGGTTTCCCGCGCCCACCCCCTCGCCCGCAGCCTCAGCCGCTTCCCGGATTCCCCCTTTCCCCTCCCGGCAGAGCCGAATCCGGAGGCTCCGCAGCACTCGCCATGCCCTGCGCTCCCATCACGGCCCCGTGGAATTTCTCCCGCTCCTCTCTGTCCCAGATTGTCACGGAGCCAGCTGTCAGTGAGCAATGCTAATATCCCGACGGCATTCCCAGGGAAACGCTCTGGGAGCTGGAATGTGAGTTAAGTCGAAAGGACACGGGTCGCAAGCCCACAGCATGCGGAGAGGCTTCCTCCAAATGTGTCAGTTTATCTAGCAGGGGCAGCCGCTGCCCGGCGGCCGGATGGCTGGGATAGCTCCCTGGCCCGGTTCCACGGGCCTGCCRGGGCAAGGAAAGCAGGAATCCGCCTCTTGGGGCAACTCTGCTCAGCGGGACCTTTTCCCACCCAGTCCACTCCTCTAATTCAAGTGCTCTTCTCCTTCCCAAGATCCAGGGAGCAGGCACTGCTTTTCTTTGAGCAGCAAACTCTTGCATATTCAAAGCCCCTCTCTCAATTTCCTCTTCTGCCAGATCTTTTTCTTTCTCTTTCAGCACTGAAAAAACCTCCCTTTTATTTTTCTTCTTGCTCCCAATTCTCTTCAAACGGCCAGACCTTTCCTGAAGCACCGCTGCTTTGCACACAGCATCCGAGCAGAGGGCCTTATCAATACAGCCTGTTATGAAATGATAATACTCCGTGCTTATATTTATGTATACACACACACACACACAYACATATAAACACTAATGACATACACGTCATATATTATCTGAGGAAGACGATAATGCAATATTATTCACTTTCAAATTTTATAGAGAGGTCTTTAGAAAAGAACTAGCAACTTTAAAAAGTCAATGACATAATTTTGTGCAACTTCAGTCACTAAGCCACGAGAACTTTTGTTAGCAAGGATTTCAAAAATTCAACTATAAGAAGAAAACTTGGAATTCAATACCTTCAGTGACTAAACTGCCTGAAAATCAGTACCAGTCAGTTATATGCAATTGCATTTTTCAAAGAATTTTAGTAATGGAGAACTATCACTATAGTAATAGACTATAGCATAGCATAGTCTGTACTACTATAGTATCCCAGTGGCAGAGCGTGTAAACAAGGTATCTCCCTTTCCAYAGGGCAGTGCGAGCCTGCAGGGCCAGGCAGCGCTGTGGTGCTCTCGGGAGAGCTGCTCTGCCCGGATACCCAGGGAAGCTGCCGGGCTCCCCTCTCCTCTCCGYGCTCTGGAAACAAGTCCAAGGCTGTATCAGCAAGTTTGCTCTGCACAAGCCCGGAGTCGGCGCCTATTTTGCAGCTGACTGCAATGTAGTAGGTGCATAAACAAAGTTGGTTTAAAAAGACAGAAGTCTACAGTCCTGAAGACCTGCAATATTTTTTCTGGTCTTGTTGTCTTCTAAGGAGCTCAAGGATTCTTGTGTCGTGGCTTTTAAGAGATAACCTACCACACACAAAAGGAGCAACAAAAAGCCTTTGCTGGAGCCCTGCCTACAGGATGGGGGCTGGTACTGGAAGCCTGACAAGCATTACCAGCAGTACCCCACACTTTCTCCTCCCAGGGCTGCAAAAACTGAATTTAGAGCCCATTGTTATCTGCAGTTGTATGCCCGCAAACTCCACCGCAGCCCTACAGCCCACTGCTCTGCTGCAGCTTGCAGAAAATAAGGGAAAACAAGAAAACAGGCAGAGCTGCTGCCCGCCGATCAGGCTGGTTCCAACAGGGGGACCTGCTGCCTTAGCAGATTCCCAGTGCTGCATCCGTGSTTGAGCTGAACTGCTCTCCCCAGTAAAGCCTGGGAACTTCAGCTCCATCCCTCCCCAGCCCGTCCAGCCACCCTTACACGGACACAGTGCAAACACACCCAGAGCGGGTACTTTGGCCCAGGATACACAGACCTCCCGCTGTAATTAGCTACAACTACCACGYAGCCCCTAAACCGCTAGTTGGATGTTGGAACTCGGTCACTCTCTGGCCTAAAACAACGAATTCAGGTGTTTCGGAGATGGAAAGTGCCGTAACGCCCGTGCTCGCACCCACACCTCACACCTTGACACCCCGGGCGCCTCGGCTGAGCCTGGGGGCGCTCGGTGCCCATGGTCCCAGAAGCGCCCCATGCCCCCCAGGAGGAAACCTCCCCCGTAGCGGGAGCTGGGCATGAGCGAAGCAGCGCCGGGGGCTGCGCCGAAAACAGCGCAGGACTCTCCCAGGTCGGCCCCTTGCAGCGCCCTTGCGGCCGTCCCGCC